TTAGGGGGAAGGAAGAGTCTGGTTTTGGGGTGTTTTTGTTTTGTTGTGTGTTTTGTGTGGTTTTTTTGTGTTTGATTGGTTGGTTTGTGTGGTGTTGGTGGGGGGGGGGGGAGGGGGTGTAGTGTGGGTTGTTTGTGGTACTGGTTGTTGTGTGGTTGGTGTGTGTGTGTGTGGGTGTGTGTGTACGTGTTGGCGGAACTGAGATTGCAAAGCAAGCACGGATGGATGGGTGGATAAAACCTCCATGCACGATACAAAAAGGGGGGGAGTTGGATGCGAAAGAAAAGGAGTCCTTTGATACTGTAGATAGATACGCTAGTAGATGGGGAGGAGAGTCTTTTCATAGAGAACAAAGGCATCCTATGTGTGTCTTTCATTGTCACAACACAAGGGCTTTCTTTGAGGGTTTGGGAGAAGACAAGGCGGTCTTGTCTGTTGTTCTCTCCGTCTGTGGCTCCTTTTAGGCGTTGTAGGAGAGCCAGGACCAGGACCAGGACAAAGAAACTCTTGTCGAGTTCTCGTCGTTCGTTTCGTAGGACATCGCCCTTGTCGAGTCGGCTATTTCTCAAACATGATGAGAGAGACGGGAGGCTATTCTATAAGCGCCAAGAGAGGCTGTTCTGATAGCGGAGATCCCCCCCACCGAGATGCAGATCCGGGGTGCCGGATTTGTTGGATTCTTGCCTGAGCGTCACGTGGTTCTTTGTCCCATAACGAATACGCGCCCCGCTTCCCTGCGCCCCTCATCGCGTATAATAAAACAACTCTATCTACCCGAACAAAACTATGGGTATCGGCGTCTAGAAACCCTAAGAAATACCATCGGCTGTAGTATGGAGAGTTATATGTGGCTGACGGATCCTTTTAATGAACTTACACGGCCATTCGTGACCATTCCAAATCTCCTGGGACTTGAGGGACAAGTTCATCTAGCAGCGTCCGAAACTCATGTAGCAAACACATTTGCAACAGGTGCTCAGCCCTTCCTTTTGCTGATAAATTCCACTCGAGGTGTTCCAGCGATAGAGAAGTACCAGTCCTTGTCCCAGGGAACGATCACTGTTCGTCTATCTTGTCCTTTCATCGTTCCCACCCCACCCACATATTCTCCATTTGAACTCTCGAATATCCGGACTGCCCCCTGGGCTGGCCCCTGGGTTGCGACGTCAACAACTATCGCCAGGATATTATCCAGGAGGGTCATCCTTTGTCCTCGTGGGGGGGTATGCCACTCTATGGTAGGCTCGCACGGGCCACAATTTGTCTAAGATGTGTATTAGCAAACTCGGGTCTGGTGTGTGAGGCTCGGCCAATATTACTTTCTCCTCGCATTCCCCCACGGAGATCACTGTCGCTTGAGAGATTTGTTGGGTATTTTGAGATCATGGAGAATTACCAGCAATTATCAGGAAAGGCAAGAACAATACGTCGCTGGTTCAGTGTTTGGCTTGGAGCGATCAGAAGCCGAATCCACGATTCTCACTTTGAATGGGAAACCCCTGATCAGGGCGCTGCAATGGGGTCGGTCTCGAGGCTGATAAGCTGCTGCAATCGAGTGTCAAACCGTGTTGGATGGACTTCAGTTAAAGTTGAGTTGAATAGTCTTATCTTAGGTGTAGGCACACGTCGAGGCGCAAGACTCATTCATTATAAAAGGTTCATGCCCAACTTGTAGGCCACAGTTGAACGCCGCCGTTAGGCGGGGCATCAGCCCCACGTGACACTTGTGCGTTAAAATTACACTAATTTGCGGTAGAGTATGGCTAAATTTTCGAAACCTTGAACTTCTTTCTGTTATATCTCGGCGAGAAAGAGTATTTATCACTTATAATCTATAGGTTAGATAGATATAATAGATACTATTATCACGCGAGAGTGAAGGATGGATTCGTCTTCGTGATCTATAGTTACGTGGTTGGAAAGTCTGCGTATTTGCACCGAAACAACTGTAATCGGTATACTTTCCTAATCTCAACTCGCGAATTGCACATGATCGCCAAATCGCGCAGGTCAGTCCAAACTTAATTTGTCCTGTTTGTCAATTTCTCAACATGTTCAGCATGCTCGGTCGAGTCTCATTCTGCGTACCAACGCGGCATTCTCTGGTTTTCTCAAAACCTGGAAACCTGCGGAGGCTTTCGACTGTTTCTCTCCATTCCACACTTCCCACGAACGTGTACCGGCTGCAGCTCTTACCCAAATCAAACCTTTCAGCCTTCAAAAAGGATGAGGACTCGAACAGCAACGAGCGGGCTTTAGTATCGGATGATGGTCTGGTATATCCGAGAGTATCGGACAAAAAGCCGAGTGCGCACTCATTCAGCATCGTTTTGGAGAGTACTGAGATTGGTTTCCTGGGCAGAAGCAAACGGGCCTATTTTCATGCCCAACACTATCCTAATGCAAGATTTGACGAGACTTGCATTCGACCGGTATCTAGAAGAGGACGAAACGAGAAAGCCAGTCTTGATCAGTCTGAAGAAGGGTATATGCCTAAACCATACTCCCACGGCCACTGCTTACATCGCTACTCAGGGACACTTTTGCCGGCGCCGCTGATCGCCTTTTCTTTCGATCCTTCCAAGTTCTCACTCCAACCACTGCACCCGATCGAATTATCCAGTGAGCCTTAATCTTTGAATCCACGGCCCATGGCTTATTCCTTCTGCAGAACTGAACAGCGTGCTCGATGAGCTTTATTCGACAGAGGCAACTATCTTTCATGCTGAAGAGTGGTTTGACCAAAATCCATTCCACGATGCTGGACCAGACATATATGACTTGTAGGGGGTATCGCTGACCCTTCTGGCCATGCCTTCTGACTCCGTGTCACCTCCATTGCGTGACCGTTGCGCGGGCGGGACCTAACGTCTTCACCATGTACCACCCATTGAGTCACAGCTTGATGCTCCATTGGCCGCCTTCTCCGTCACACAGCGCAGGAACAAGGCTCAAGTTACAAACGCTCGGACTATACCATTGAGTCAATAACTCACGGCGCTGGCGCAGAAACTTAGTGGCTCGTTACACAAGGGACAAAGTACAAGTACCGAGCCGACTGATAGAACAGTGACAACCCCGATTTTATACTCCATCTCCACTTCTGTGCCAAATTTGGTACCTACCCTAACCAGTCAATGAGCAGCAGAGTGCTCGTACAATCGTACCCTGGCCAGCTAGGTTTGTGGAGAGGCTCGAGCAGGTACGAAGTACGAGGTATAAGTTTGATAACAATCAACTTGGCAGATTACGAGGGACTCATTACTCCAAATAAAAGTACATACCCACTACCTCATGGCAGTGGGTATCCATCACCTTCCAGATGCGAGGTAGGTACATAAGTACCCATACCTAGCTGGACTTTGACATACTCCCCCTCCACCAACCACTAGTCGCCACCTCCATCCCCACCACCTCGTTGTAACCCACACACCACACGAACACGAACACTACCCGACCGCCACGCCACGCCACACTACACTACTTCACTACGTACAAGAAACCCTCGCCGAGATGCAGAATCAGGCAATTGCCCTGCCCAGCCCAGCCCAGCCTCAAGGAGATACTTGAGTAACAGAAAAAGGGTCTTGGAATGTACTTGGTATTTTTGTACCAAAAAGTTATTCAAAGGGTACCATATCCGACAACATCCGAGGGTGTTCTTTGCTGGAAATGGTCCTTTGTTGTATTTTGGGCAGGGATGATTATGTTATTCGTGAATCCTAGGCAAACAGATAGATTGTACACTCGTACGTTAAACCATAGCTGGTAAGTAGCCCGCGCGGTAGAGAAAAGGGTATGTATATGTATATATCCAAACACTTGAACCAAACCTCACTCAACCCATTTATTTTCTCGATCGAGCGACAACTAAACTCCGACCTCTATTGCCGTCTATACCGAACCGACCCTCTGTCAAATTCCAAGAGTTTTTCTTCTTCTTTTTTCTTTCAGGCTCTTCATTTCTTTTTCGTCTTGGATTTTTGTGCCAACCTGACCCAACCACACCCGACGACAAGCCACGTTATCTTATCTCGTATCTTGTGAATCAGTGGTATACATCACGTTTCGATGAGACATCCCCCCTCTCCTCTAGCTCTAGCTCTAGCGAGGAGTCGAGGAGTACCGACACGATACACTGTCGTAGAGCCGGGCCAGCACTTTGCCTCGGACCTTTATCAGATGTCAGAAGGATTGACAGTAGCGACAGTGGACAGCCTCCTATGCGACGCACGTGGAACGCTTTCTTTTTGATTGGACTACTAGACTTTGATCCTCGACTTTTCGATCCTCGATCCTATTTTCCTATATCCTATTTCCTACACAGATATCGATTATAATATAGCAATGCCTTTTCAGGAGTCACAAGAAATGCTCTTCTCGTTCTCTCCCAAATGGCCTTGAGAGAAATAAAACTACTTCCATCTCTACCTCCCAAATCGTTGACACGTTGACATTCCCCTTTCCCTGAGCACTAGATCAATGCCGGCAGAAGCGCCACCAATGGCAACACGACCTGTCCACCGCCGAGGGCGAGTTTGCTGCCAAAGTTCTCGGTCTGGACGGCGACGTCTGCAGAGCTGGTCTCAGCTGGCGTCTGGTTTCCTAGTTAGTTGAAATGCCCCGTCTTCAAAACCTGGCGAAGAAAACAAACTCACCTCGCTTGCGGTCTGTTCGGGCGTCTCGGAAGCTGTGTCGGCCGGAGCGGCGGTTGTCTCTGACGGTTCAGAAGAAGCCGTCGTCGACGTTGTACCGGTCTCCTCTGTGCCTGGAGCTGAAGAGGTCGAAGTCGGCGCCGGGGTGGCAGTGGGTTCCGTGGCCGAGGTCCCATTCGAAGCAGGAACTGGCGTCGCGTCGAGTCCACATCCTGTGGCCGCGGCACTTACGCTCTCGCCGTAGTACCGCCAGATGTCAAATTCGAGCGCGCATTCGAGGCAGTCTTCCAAGATGGTGGTGAAGTTGGCCGAGTCACAATAGCCTTCCGTCCTCCCAGCGGTAATGACGCCTCCACTGGGCATGGTGTCAATGGAGCTAAACAAGACATGTATCGCACAACACTCACCAGTTCGCATGGCACTCATAGGCAGGCGTTCCCGGCTCCTGTCGGCGTTCCAAGGGAACAGAAGGGTGATACTCAAAGGAGATAGAGGCAGAGGCAGAGGCAACGGCCAAAGCCAGAACCGCGGGAAGAGCGTAATGCATGGTGTGGTGGTTGATCCAAAGAGTGGCAAGTTAGACGGAAAATACAAAGGCTGGAGCTGCAAGGTACAAGTCTGGGCGAGAAGGCCACGAGAAGAGGGAGATAGCTCTTCCATATAAACATGGAGCTCTAGCCACCAACCTCGAGTCCAGTCCCTTCATTTCCGGGCCAAGCGCAGGTGCTCCAACCGAGGGTGGCATCAGTGGCCAAACTCAGCTGCCCAAGTCGGCGTGGTGAGAGACACAATGGTCGGCCATGACATCGGCAGACGAGACAAGTTGACGCGTTTTCTCTTGCCCAATTCTCGGCTGCTCCATTGGTTTGGTCCCTCGTGGCATCCAGCCGATCAACAGCGAGTGCCCAGCAAAAGCCAAGCGCGCCGGCGAGCTTGGGACGAAAAATTATCTTATCAGATCGAACGATTACGGGTCTGACAAAAGACTTTTTCGGCTTTTTCCAAGCAATTAGTGGAGAAGGACGAGTTGTCTGACCACTCCCGATATCGGCACCTGCTTGATATCTTGTCTGATTAGATGGCAGCTTCGCTTGGACGTGCCGTGATGCCCTCCGCTAGAGCCATTGTCCTGCGCTTCGTCCGAATTTTCTACTCCATGCACACGGAGAGACTTTGGAAAAGGAACTCCACTTGTCTTTGCATCTTCTCCCAGCAGCACCAGGTTCTGCCATTCCCCGGCCAAGCATTGGTCGGGTGTCCCTCGTGACTCGAATGGATCGGTTTGCGCAGGGTATATCTTCCACCAACCACCCCCTCCTTGTCGTAGATTGTCATGTAACTAGAGTTTAATTCAATCCGTTCACTTACCTCTAGAAACTGGTTCTGGTCCAAAAGGAAATCGACAATACTTCTGCTTATATCATCGACACGATGGCACCACTCATGTCTGCTCTAGTCTTGGGCGGCGCTCTTGCGGCAAAGTTCGCCCTTGCCCAAGAACATGGAGAGGAATACTCAAAGACCATGGGCCCAGTCGCCTTCATGTGGCCGCCTGATCGTGAATGGGGTGCTGCCCAGGACAACACAGCCCCGTGCGGTTCAGCTGCATCGGTCATCAACAGAACCGACTTTCCCCTGCGTGAGTCAATGCCAAATAAGTCCAGTGGCTTCATACTGAACTGTGACAGTAAATGGCCAAATTGCGCTTGTCGCTCAAGATGAGTCCTGGCACATGCAGGTAGCAATTTCTTATAAAAGCGGTGGGTGAAGTGCCGATCCAGCTTCCTGCTTAGTTCATGACTGACGACTCGGCTAGATCCCACGTCCAACGATGATTTCGAGGTCGTGATCCCAGACACAAGAATCCCCGAACTCAACGAAGGGCACCAGTGTTTCCCGCTTCCGAATCCACCGGCAGATGTCGAAGCTCAAGCACCCGCCACTTTGCAGATTCGATATACTTCCGACTTTGACACGGACCTGAACGAGACCTTCTATGCGTGCGCTGATATCACTTACGTGCCGACCAGCCAGTTCACCTATCAGGTGCCATGCTTCAACGCCACTACCGAGGATTTCGAGATTTCTGATGAACCTGACTCGGAGGAATCTACTTCAACGGGTTCGGCAGCTGGAGCAACGGCAACGGCCGAGGTCCCAGAAGCCACCGAGTCATCATCTTCAGGCCTGTCCGGCGGCGCGATTGCCGGCATTGTTGTCGGTGTTGTGGTGGGAGTTGCATCTGCCCTTGCTCTCTTCTTCGTCCTGTGGCGCCGCCGCCAGCAGAAGAAACGCCTTCGTCAACAGGAAACCTCAATCAGAAATGTGAAATGGGAAGCCCAACACGGGAGCGGACCGGCATCGCAAGCTTCGGATCGCGACATTGCGCTCAGGAATATTTAGTTAGATGAAGGTCCGGGGAATGTGGGAACATAGCTGTCAGTATGGAGGATGGCATATGTTGAACTGAGTCGACCGACGCCTGATGGAAAGTGGAGATTCGATCCCTAATCATTCCAGAGTAATATTCAGCTTGTCTCGGTGACCAATAGCACAGTAAGCCATATTTGTTCCACTATCCAACTCTTGCCTATTGTGAGCACAGCGATAAATTCAGAGTCGAAACTCATATCGATCCAACATTAAGGAAGGTTTAGCGACCACGTGAATAGGAATCCGCTAAAGAAAATCGGGTTAGCGTCGTCGACCTTTCAGCATATGAATGTGGAAGCAGTGAATACCTTGTGTCGTGCGGATCCAAGGCCTAAATCGACCCCTCGTGGCCTAATACCCACTCAGCAATCCCTCTTGCGTGCAGGGTGGTCGTCTCAAACGTGGGTGCTGTCAGGTCCTCAGGTCCGAACACGAGCCGGAGCTCAGTGCATCCCAGAATGATACAGTCGACTTGGTGATCCCTCAGCAGATCTTGGTACGCCGAGCGCCATCTCGCCTTGACGGGTTCTGGAATCTCGGGTTTACTCATGTCTTGAAATATCATGCGGTCGGCATCGGCCCGGAACTCGCTGTTGGGCACGACCGCCTCCAAACCGAACCTCTGAAGCCGACGGATGTAAAAGTCCTCTTCCATGACCGCTCGTGTCGCGAGCAGTCCGACCTTTTTGAAGCCCTGATCCACAATCTGCCGGGCCGTGAAGTCAACAATATGTAACACGGGCAGGCCGGTCGTCTCCTCCAGCTGCTCTGCGGCTTTGTGCACAACGTTGGCACAGAGGACCAAGGCCTGTGCATTGGCTGCTCTGAGCTCCATACCACACTGGCAAAGTAGTCTGGTCATGCCGACATAATCTTTTGCGCCGATCAGTGAGGCGAGGTCCTCGTAATCAATGGATCTGATGAGGAGATTGGCCGAGTGTATACCGCCTCGTTTAGCATTGACATGGTTGTTGATTTCCTCGTAGTATATGGCCGTAGTCTGCCACGAGAAGCCACCGATCAGACCCGCCGTCCGTGTGGTTGCGACAGCAGACTTTGTCAGTGAGGATGCCAGTCTGTGCGTAGTCGAGGGCAAAGTCGCCACCTGGAAGTGTGGGAGTAGTTTGTGGATGTGGGTGAGAGGACGGGGAATCACTTTGCAGCGCATTTTGACGACATTAGGTGCAGCCACAATCGACCCGAAAGTATCAAGAAATGTGATGATCGCAGTGACAGGGACGTCGACCTACAGTATAAAGGACGGTCGAGATTTGGATGAATGGAACAGGGAGTTCGACGTCGGAATTTCGACACAGGTACTCTCCATTTCCATCTTTGGACCTGAGTGTGGGCTTGAGCCTCGCTGCTTCAACTTGAGGTGCTCCGGCACGTGACTGAGCAAAGTGTAATTCGGCCTGAGCAACGGATCAATCGCGCCCACATCCGGGCTAGGGGGACCCTGTTCCCGGATAGTCAAGCTGACATGTGACATGTCCTAGTCATGAAATTCTCCTGCGCTTCGCAAATGTCCTTCCACGTTAGCGACAGTAGTACGGATTCTGTCGCCAAGGTGGGTTATCATGACTACATTGCAAAACGCCCTTCTAGTGCACAGCGTCCTGTCCCTATCAGCAATGCACCAGAATGCACACGATTTGGGCGGCGACCAAATCATTCCACGAAGGCTTGTGCCCTAACCCTATCGGGAAGGTTGGCCGAGTAATAAAATCCACCGCGGCACACAACAAATCCGCAGGTGTCTGGCTTCTGATGTGGCGTTCTGGGTTGTGAAGCCGCCATGGCACGCATGGTCAGCAGGTGCGGAAGGTGCCTTTGTCCAAAAGAGTTGCGTTGGATGTGAATGGTGTGAAAGGAGTAACGCTGCACATTTATCGGTAGAAACGCCCAGCTTTATGGTGATGGTGATTTGTCCCTGCTGTGTTTGATATTACGTCTTCACTGGCACGCCACAATCACAGAGGTGCGACTTGGTTGAAGGATGGCAGGCACAGATCTACAATTGCGAAGTTAGATATAGCTAGGTTGACTGGGTGAGCTTTTTGAATTGCAAGGTCGCCGTGGGTAGGGGGCCAGGGCCACCCGATATCATACCAGAACAGTGCGTAAACTCAAAGGCCGGCTACTGGTCCACTCACCGGAGTTTGCTGCAACATCGGTTTTTGCAGGGGCAGGAAGGGCCCTTTCCTTGGCCGGAAATGCGCAGGCGTCACTCAATTCACGGGCGGTTGTCATGGAACAGGATCGTCATTGGAATGACTCTCGTGGGCGAACAATAGTTTGGAAAGGAATCCAATTCGCAAAATCTTTCTTCGCGCCGTTCGCTATGCTACCAGACATGATCATCCGTCTCTCATATTTCCGAGGGCGTTCGCATGCAGACATCATTGAAGAGAGCTTTACACCGAGCGCTCTGTTCGATGTTGCCAGTGGTCCCCATAACTCCTTCGAACGCCATGTCACCGGTCGAGCTCCCTTGTCCGTCGCCAACGTGCACCGGGCTTAAGTATCCGGCATCTTTGGCTGGTTCATAATGGTTCATGATCTGAGGGTTCACAACCACACAGCGAAGGTCGCCTGATTTACAAAATGAAGACATGGAAACATCAAATGCTTCATTAGAACCGGTTCCCAATAGCTGGAGGATCTTGGGCGCGCTCTGTCGCGTCACCCCATAACCAAAGGTGCAAACCGTCTGAACTGAAGTCTGCACCAGTCGATGCTGGTCTTCCAATTTGTCTCTCAGGTAATGTTTCGACCAGCCTGAGTAATGTTCTGTCTTGCAGCGAGTCTCGTCCCGATACTTGAGCATTGCAGGCATATCGTCTTCAATCGCAGATCCACAATGACCCAGCCAGAGAACGTCCCAGTTGTCGCCATAAGGACGGCGGTCGTGAGCTGGTATTTGGGCAAATTGCCGGACATTATCTGAGACAAGTCGAATTTGTTCCTTGAGCCTTACATCAAAGTCAACATCGTCTTCGACGATGAAGGCCGTTTCAAATCCGGAGACAATCACAAATTTGAGGAGATCGATGTGTGCCAACCATGCCATAGCTGAGCCGCGTGCGGGCGTAGCCTTGCCCGAATCCTTGCCGATGTTCTCGAACGCTTGAACCAGCTCGGGTGGATTTTGAGGTTGGATCGGAATTGTGAAATCTAGGCCAACAATATCTGACGCTGCCTTTAGACCACGGGTCCGCCAACTTTCACCCGTGGAGAGGGCGAGAAGCTTTTGGAACTGAGTCAGGTCAGTTGTTAAGCCTGCGACAAGGGATGTGCACAACTAACCCCGAGCGTCGAGTTTGCTGCGGCCTCTCGAGGCGATATCCATGACACGGGCTCACGAGACAAGGCTAGGTTTCCGGAGCTCTGGTACGCTTGTCGCAAGAAGGCGATGAGAACCAAAAGCGTGATTGCAGCGATAATGTGAAGGCGACAACGCGACCAACTACATTGGGTTTGCCATTTCCAGCCTCGGAGCATTATTGAGACATAAAGAATGCGTCTTGGTGAGGCTGGGAAATTCAATATTATGGTGATCGAAGTCGTATATCAGTGGAATCATGATCTCATGATCTGGGCGAAAGCCGCACTTGAGTGACAGCAGTAAAAAGAAATGTGTGAATTGATCAGTTGGGTGTGAAGCTGTGACGGGGACGCCTTGACATTCACAGTCTCGCTGTGGCTAGCCACTATCCCGCCCTTCTCTTGAATACTGATATGAATTTGCTTTCCAGTCTCCTAAACTCGTATCTGATGCCGTCTACTCAATTTGAGGTAGTAGCCTCTTCTCTAAAATCCTCACTGCTCGCCCAGACGTCGACGTCGACGCTCACAACACAAAGATGAGAATCTTGACCGCGTCTCTTTGCACCTTGCCTCTCTTCCTGAGCTCTGTTTCTACTCAAGATAACAGAGATCCTGATCCAAATAATCATTTTATCAGCCCACCGTTACCGGGTCCACAGGCTAATGTCGATGCCACTGTCTTCTGGTCCAACCAAAATTGGACTGTTGGAGTGCAACAAACTATAGACTTGAACTGGGGTGACTAACGTGACCAATTTCATGATCACAATGCAACAAGAAGGCAATCCTGAGAGCGTCCAGTCTCGCCTCATTCTAGGTATGCATCGGTTGCCCGTTTCCAATCTGATTGATGGTGTTGATCGTTCTCCAGACTGCCCCGCTGCGAGTACACAGGACAATATCTACTGTTAGTAGGCCTCAGCCCTGTACCAGGTTATACGGACTCTGTCTCTCTTGCTTCCAATTGGTCTCGATGTCGCTGTTGAAGTCTAACAACCAAAAATAGGGGACGGAAAAATCTCTCCAATTGACCTCAAGAATGGGTCTATCGCCTACCTGGCAGCATGGGATTGTGATCAACCAGATGCCACTCCGATCTTTTTCTCACATTATATCAACCTCACCGAACCGGTGGTCACAACAACCTCCTCGACTCCGACAACAATTACATCCGCATCATTGGCCTCAAGCACCACATCCGGAACCCCTACTTCCGCAGGCCCGGTCTCTACAAGCTCTGTTACTCCAGCGGCAACTGCGGAGAGCAATCACAGTGGAGGTGGCGGATCTAACTCGGCAGCGCTTGGAGGTGGAATCGGCGGCGGCATTGGCGGAGCTCTGGTACTGATAGTGCTCGCAGCCTTATTCATCTACTGGCGCAGAGGAAAGCGGGAAGTCCTCAAAGGCGCCCCAAGCCATGAGCCGTCAACGCGCGAACTCTTACCCCGAAATCAACCGTACCCTCCCAATTCCTATCCCTATCAACAACAGACTTACTACCCAAGCGAGTTGTCTGGCACTCCTTCTCCGCAGCGGAAGCCCATGTCGAACGCGGAGCTGGACAGCAACAGTCGCTCCGATACAGGAGGATGATATTATGAACATTGGGACGCATTGGGACGCTCGTTTTGGACGCTGGCTTCGGAATGAATACTGTCAATGGTTACATGGTCTAGAACACAGGTCTTGTTGGGAATGGAAGGAACAAAAAGAAAGTGGGAAGGCGACATACACAGTAGCCAATGTCGAGATTTGATGACAGCTACCAGGATCAGCCATCCCGGGTGTTTTACTGGCGATTTTCACTGCAACTTGGATACTCATGGGGGAAAAATGGCCGCGTCTTGCCTCTGCCACTCTTTGTTGCTGTGAACCATTTTATGCCGATTGTCACCCATGAGGCTCCTCGACCTCAGAATAGACAAGGTTAACGAGGCTCCCAGTCTTACGTGGCCCAGATAAGGTCTCAAAAAATCCCCAAAAATCAACATAAATATATAAGTCGGCAATGGTTCCAAGAAGCGCAGATTTATTTCCAGGTTTGTTAGAACGGTCAAGCTCGCAGCACCTAGCAGTGCCAGCCGACCCTGAGCCGAAGTTGAGCCGGACGAGAGCCGGCCTAGCAAAAGCGGCGAAAGGTCACGTGGAACACGAGTGAGGAGGTACGAGATATACTTGGTCCTCAGTAGTATTTGTACCTGATTCTGATTCGCTCAGCGTGCCTAGTACTTAAGCTGGAAGAAACCCCCCCTGGAACAGCCCCCCCAGTTCAGGTTTAGGCGCCCATTGTTTCAAACTGCGGGGAAACACAGGCACTGACAAGGGCTTGACCTGATGCCCAGCAAAACCCACTACAGAGACGAGAATCATTGGCCAGACAAGACTTCAGGCCAACCCCATTTCGCATCACCGACCGAGGCAACTCTCTACTTACTCGAGCTGCTCTCAATCGCTTGCGAGTCTGCGTGTCACAAGCTGTCTCTCGCTCTGAAGCCCAGGGTCCCTGTGCTCCTGGCCTAGGCACTGACGGCAACTTGATCATGGATGAAACCCCGCTCGACCGTCCTTCATAAACATGCTTTTCTCTGGGAAATTCGACATCATCTCGACCATCTTCTTTCCATCGTGCCATCGACATCACACCATCTTCAGCTCTGTCGCTTGCTGTGTGTGGAAAAATGGCGCATCCGGGCCCCCTTGAACGCGTTAACCGCCTCGCTGTGGGTGCTCTTACCCTGCCCTTCAGTCTTGTTCACCGTGCATCGACCGAACCACTTCTTACCGGCACTTTGTTGTTTGCTCTAACCCGAGCACCTATTCAATACCGAGCACGCCTCTTGAAGGCATTGGGCGATGCCGGACTATCGCCTGAACGCATTGCCCTGCTCGTCAAGTCGTTGAAGTACCTCCTTGCTATCGGCCTTGTCCGTAGGCTCAACCAGACACTGAACAAACTTGCCCTCAACAACTGGCACTTCTTCACCAAACCAGGTGCCCCCTTCCAATGGGATAAGCGGACGGAGCTCGTGGTAGTGACTGGAGGATGTTCCGGCTTCGGGTACGAGATGGTCAAAGGCTTCTCGAAACATGCGAGAGTTGTCATCCTGGATATCTCTCCAGTCCCCGAGGAGTTGAGGAAGCGTAAATCTCCCTGATAACCACGTCATAGGTCGACTGCTCATTCTCATGCTTTTAGTTCCTGGCGTCGACTACTATCAACTCGACTTGACCGACTTCTCGGCGATAGAGTCGACAGCGGAGACCATCCGCAGGGAGCATGGAGACCCCACGGTCCTCATCAACAATGCTGGCATTGGTAAGCTTCTTGCAGTCGTATGCCAGATGCTAGTCAGCTGACCCGAGAACCCTCCAGCCAACGGCACCAAAATTATTCACAGTGATGCAAAGTTGACCGACAGGATCTTCAAAGTCAACATTGCCAGTCACTTCATTTTGATCAAGGAGTTCTTGCCCGGAATGTTGAGAGCGAAAAAGGGGCACGTTGTGACTATTGCGTCCATGGCCAGCTTCTTCGCAGCCCCCGGCCTCGTCGACTATTGCTGCACAAAGGTTGCGGCACTCTATCTCAACGAAGGTAAGCTCACCGTTTATTTCTATGACCTACACTCTCCTCCGATGTTGACTTCTGGCACAGGCCTGCGGACGGAGCTTCGTACCTATCATGAGAATGGCAAATGCATTCAAACCACCTCGGTCCATCCGTCCTGGCATGCAACTGGCATCGTCAAACCCGTTGCCGCCAAGTTAGAGCAGGCGGGCATCAGGTGTGATCCGGCATCCAACGTGAGCGATGCCGTCGTGGAACAAGTGTTGGCGGGAAGGAGCGGCCAGATTTTCATGCCGAGGACTGAGGAAAGCAATGCAGGGCTGAGGAACTGGCCTGTGTGGCTGCAAGATACGATGCTCCAGCTCCAAAGGAGTTTGAGGAATGTCGACATTGCTTGGAAGGAGTAAGAATGTTCTGTAGGGAGTAGTGGCAATAAGAATGATGTCGATTACCCATTTGTCTTCCTTCGTCGAGATCGACCCTTTCCTCTCCTTTCCTGTTCCGGACAATACATCTCCATCTCCTGGACCCTGCGGAACGAGTGTATTGAAACGCCCCTCTGATATCCTGGCCCCTGGCCACGCTGGCTAAGCCTGTTGGCGGTGTAGCTTCTCTGTAACAAGCCACAAGCCTAACGAATGCAAAGCTCCAGTAAACTCCATCGTTGGTCGATGTTCTTTTTTTTCCCCCAACAGTCCTCCACTCCTCCATTCCTCCATCCCTCCATCCACACCATCAAGGTGTTCTCCTCCACTCTGTCCAATCACCTTGTTCACTCCCGTCAGCTGCCCCATCCCAGTCGACGCGGATAAGGGATTGAAAGATGAGTGGCTTTTACAAGAATCCCATGTCTCTTTGAGAGGCAGACAGAATCCGCTGTTGGCCGTGGCGTTTGCCTGGCTTCCCGTCCCCGGCGGAATGGACTACCCCCAAAATGGTGGCTTATTGGTGTCTTATCTGACGAGCAGTCCTTCGACTCCCTTGGGTGACTGCCCTTGACAATGTCCTGGTACGCGTACAATCACACCATCCCCAAGGGTACTCGTTACATGGCGCCTCGTCCCTGGATGTCGTGCACGAGCCCACACCTATTCCAGCAAAGCTCCAAAGGACGTGGCAGGTGTTAGTTTGGAAACCACCGGCCAGAAACTCTCTCGTCCTCAGATTGGACTCTGATCTTCAGAGAAAACGATGATCCCATGTCCCGCGGGTGGCCTTGCGAACACCGAAAAGGGGCCTGTGCATTCATTGTTTTGCAGGGAGAAATGCCGATTGAGAAAGACATCCATTCTACCGCGATGATCGCCAGGGCTTCTCTCTGGACTCTTTGACCTGTCACCTGCCACTACTCGACAACGGCTTTGCGACAAGCGGTGAAATCTTGCAGGGAACTTTGAACTCTCAATCTTAGCATCATGGGGCTTGACTTTTGTTCGGACCCATGTGTGCCATCGTGTCATGCTACCATCTCCCCAGGGTTATCGGATTGTCTTTGGTGGCGTTCAGCTCCTGCACGGGACGGCATCCCCCCTGGGCATATTCGAGACTCTCAAAGAACGAGGCATTGAACTAAAGTTCTGCTCTTTGACCCTGATGAGGAGCATTCTGAGAGAAGTCAATGATCCACTCTGTCGCGGCCGGAATTGGACACCCCGAAGCCCATCCTCGTCGACGGCTGTTCCCCTGTACCGAGTCGATATCAACGGTGGTCATGCAGGTACAATAAGACAAGTTCGGATGCTCGACAACAAGGTTAACCCAAACCTTTGCTGCGTTCGTCCAAAGGAGGGATTCCAATTCCAATGGCCGTCTCCAAGCCGTTGGGAGTCATATCCTCTGAAGACCAGTCCGGCCTGATTCTCATTCTGACCTCGTTGTCGCTGTGCTTTGTTCTCGTTGCCTTTGCCATTCGCATCTACATTCGGGTCCCGCAGAGATTGTGGAAATGGGACGACCACATTCTGACGGCTGCCACAGTATGTTTGGATACCTGAGCACGAGAGTGGAACATGCGAACGGTCCTAACGGCCTTCCAGGTCTTCTCCATCGTTCAGACCTCGCTCGTCTTACATGCTGTCCACCTCGGCTTGGGGCAGCGGAAAGCATTCGAGGGCGATGACCCCAATAGTGATTTGATCAAGAAGGTACGAAGAAGGAAGTGTCGACGTTAGATGAGAGGTGGATGTTTGTGCTGAAACTTATTCGGTGGGGACCAGTACTATTTTGCAAACGACTTTCTCTACCTCGTCGTCCTCCTCTTCTCCAAGTTGGCCGTGTGCTTTCTCTTCCTGAGGTTGACACGCCGCCGAGGACACATGATCGCCATCTACACCACCATCGGGCTCTGCGGCGGTTGGTTTCTCCTGTCTGTGCTTTTGATCAGCATCGACTCCTCGTGGAAGCAGGTTTTCTCGACACCGGTAGGTAATATCTTGACTCGGATCACAGAGAGAAGAAACTGACCATGTCACAAAACAGTTTGGCAGATGGCTCGCCGTCGGCATCACAGACTCGATCACGGAGCTCCTTTTCGTCCTCTTTGCCACGTACCTGGTCAGCGATCTGCATATGAGCAAAATCCAGAAAGCCATTGTGATATTTGCATTTGCTCTTCGACTGCTGTGAGTGCTGATATTTTAACTCTTGCCGTCGAAGCGACTGCTGCGCTGCTGGAAATGTCTAACAAAGCATTGTTGTCCTGCTGCTACTGCTAGTGCCGTCCCTGCCTGCGGCATCCGTCTCTACTACCTCAACCCGACCACCCTCCCCGGCAATCGCAGCGAATCCCTCTCCCTGGCCATCGTGTGCACGCAGATCCAGCTGGGCTACGGGATCATGGCGGCCTCGGTCACCGTACTCAAGCCGTTCATGGCCGTCTACGAGAAACCCGTGGGCTACTCGGGCTACACCAGCAACACCGTGGCTAAGAAGTACATGACCTCCAACAACAGCGACCACGACCATGACCATCTATCCTTCAAGATGCAGCCACTTTCAAACTCAGACGAGGTCATGCCAGAGAGACTCAGCCCCCACGCCGTGACCTTTGACCCGAACCAACCGATCTTCTCCTCGCGGATTCCTTTGGGGCCAGGGCCAGGGCAGAAGCAGAAGAGAGGAAGCGGGAGCGGATATGGACACGAGAAGAGCGACAGCATACACAGCCACGACAGTCGACGGCTGATCATCGAGCGCAAGACGGACTGGTCGATCCGGTACGAAGAGGCCGAGAGTCACAAAAGCGTTGTTAGTGAGGGTGCTCCATCGGTTTCTGATCGTTGAGAGCTGGCGCTTCGGACTGAACCCCAGCTCTACGAAAGATATTTGTGGATTGCGACGACATACTTGGTTGGAGCTCTGACGACTTGTAAAGTATATATCTATTGTAACGGAAATCTTGGGACCAGGCCAGACAGGAAATGGAACAGGAACAGGTTGGGAAGCGGGAAACGGGGATGCCAGTATGCCGATCAAGTTGGCATGGAAAGAGAGGAAAGGAAATCATCGATCGATCATGTACTTGGTAGCGGCTGGACTCTAACGAAGGGATCGAATTGAGGAAAACATCTCCTATGTCCTTCTGTGGCTGACTGTATACTAGTATGAAACCCGTCCTTGTACAGACGACGGCTTTTCGAGAGAACTCTCCCCATCCACATTCCACGGACTCCACGATACCCAGGTGTTGGGGGTTTGCTTCGACAAAAACGACAGCTCTGTTTCTCGTCAACTTTCTTCCTTCTTCTCTCCCTTACTCTGATCCCGTTCCCTCCCCTCCTCATATCCTCGCTGAAAGAGCCGGATATCGAATATTATACCACGTCCCTAGTTGGTGTCTCGTACTCGACATAATTTCACCGACAGTCTTGACCTGTCTATCACAGTCACCAGTCACAATCACAATCACAATCACCGACACCATCATCTTCATCCTGGGTCCTGGCGAATGGATATCCACCTAATGCGTAGTACGTACACGTAAGGTCTTGTTCCATAGAGTTTGAGTCTGCCCTCCTCGCATTGCCATGTGCGTTTAAAATACAAAACTAGCGATTCTTTCCCACCCTCGAGGCGAGTGGGCCACCGTTTCCGGGGGCACAGGACGGGGGGACGCGGGACAAGGTTGTGCTGGCCCGTGACGGGGGGGATAGGTAGGTTTCAGCGAGGAAAAGGAATCCCAGGGACCAAGGGACGGGAGTATCAAGGTCAAACGAAGCGAACGGCTCTGGCTGGCTGGCTGGCTCGGTCTGAGAACCTCGATTCCATCACCATCCACTCTTTTCGGGCGTGACTTTTCTAGAATCTCCATACTCATCCCATCTGCTACTCGTACGAGCATCTACTTACTGTACCTGTCCATTCATTCATTCCCACACGTTAGTACCTCCCTCATCTCTCCTCGTCAATACAGCTACGAGCCGTCATGAAGCGGCGAGACGGGTCCCCCGATCCCCTCTGCTTCCAGCTAGCCATAGCCAGAGCCATGCACTCCATCCACCCGCTCGACCCACCATTAACGACAACGGGGAAGAGGGAAAAAGAGCTTGAGTAAAAGTGTGAGTGGGTAATATAGCAGGAAGTTCAAATCCACACCTGCAGTAGCGTCGAGTAATTAGTACGCGAGCAAAGTAAAAAAGCTTATCCTCGCACCTCGCTGCTCTCTGCCTGGCAGCCTGGCTAGCAAGGCAGGCACTAGCACTGGCACGGCATGTCACTGCACGTAAAGGACTAACGACTTATCGTACTTGGTACAGAACTGCAGGCGTGTCTCTCACCCCAGACTCCACCCAGCTGTTTACCCAGTGCCCACTCTGCCACTCACTACTCGAAAGGACAGCACTCTTCCCCGTCCTCCTTTTCTCAGAGATTGGAAGTAAACTTGGAAAACGCCAACCGAGAGAGTAAGTACTGTACGAGCATGTACCGAGAAGAAAAAAAAGAAAAAAGAAAGAAAGAGAAAAGAAAGGAATCATTCCCTCTTTCTCTCCCTGGTTTCTCTCCTTCACCCTCATTCCTATGAGTGTGTGTGTGTGTCCCGCTCAAGCTGGAAAAGATGGACTGAACTCTCTTTCCTCTCGTACTCGTTCAACGAGACACGCAACAAGCACTCCCAACAGATTGGATCTGGAACAAGGGCACGCGAACCTCCTGAATTTTCGTCCTCGTAGGTGATGCGTGCGCGTTGCGTTGCAGTGCGCTGCAGTGCGGTGGCTTGCTGAGACCAAAAGACCAAAAAAACTTAAATAGGTTATCACAATACGAGCTTTTAAGTTTATACATGGAGCGAGACAGGTAAAAAAGAAGAACGCGAAATACAAGGTTCGAGGCGTAGGGCGTAGGGCGTAACGTGTAAGGCGACCAGTCCAGTCCAGTCCAGTCCAGCTCGGAGCGGAAAGAAGAAGAGGTGCGAAAGGCAAATGACCCCTGACGTGCAGGGTCTGACCTGACCTGACCTGTGATGCGAGAATGCTCGTCAAAGGTACCTGGGTAGGGCAAAGGTAGGGAATGAGGAAAAAATTGTTGTGTGGACTTTTGAGGCGAGTGATCTGACAATAGTCCCGATCTGTAGGTATACGTGGACGGGGGAAATGACAACAGGGCTAGATATTGGTGGTCTTTGTGTCAAAGGGAGAAGCACTCCTAGGCACTACCAAGATCGCCGGATCTAGTTTCGATATTGCTCTTATACCATCTTCTTTTGTACGCATCCCGTCAACGAACAGCATTGAGAACCCAAAATTGTCCGAGAGCATCCGATCCGATATCCCAAATATAGACCTGGCCAGAATGAGAGAGTGAGGATACTAGTTCCGACCCTCGACCGTCACGACAGGCCCCGTGTAGACCTTCCTCCCTTGAACCACATAAAACACTCCCGAGATAATCATGACTCCGAAAAACAGCACGACCGACCAGTTGAAGGACTCGGCGTCCACTGGTGTGCCGTTGGGCCAGAAGCTCCAGAAGAAGGCAAACAGAGAATAGACTACACTGAAGACGTTGATCGGCACGCCCAGCTTGCCCAAACTCCACCGTGCCTTGGGCAGCAATTCAGGATGGTACACGCGGCGGTACAGCACGCATGAAATGGAAATGGTGTAAGAGAACATCAGCGCGCAGACCTGTACAGAGATGATGGCGTTGAACGCAGCCGAAGAGCCAATGTTGATTATCGCAAGCAGACAGCTGATGATACATGTCAGCGTAACGGCGTTGGCGGGTATGTGCAGCTTCGGGTTGACAGCGCCGATCCAGTTGGAAAACGGTAGCCCCCTGTCGCGGGCAAAGGCAAAAGTTTGACGTGAGGTGGAAGCGTTGAATGAGATATTGGACGCGATGACCAAAATGAGGATCAGGATGGTCAGGGCGTTGACACCGCCAGTAGACACTGCCTGGCGGAAGATCCAGATGAAGGGATATTCGGTTGGATCGTTGAGGGCGGCGTCCACGTCGGTCAAGGCAAAGTTGTAAGTGACGACGAGCACCAAGCCGAGGACCCCGTTCGAGATGTAAGCCCAAAACATGGCGTTGGGAACATTGCGACCAGCATCCTTGACCTCCTCAGCCATGTGCGCTGTGCAGTCAGAACAAAGTGATCCATAGATGGCCGAAATCTGCCCGATCATAAGAGCAAGGCCCATACTGGACCAACCTCCTTCGTTGGAAAACTGGGTAAATGCGACCTTTACAGAGTTGCGAGGCGCCATCACCCACAGAACGATGATGACCGCTGCATATTTGTTAGCACCTGACCACACCAATCCTTCTTGAGCCAGTGAGCTTGCCTCACATAGGACTCACCAAAGAACCCAAAGACATGCACGATGAGGAGCACATTCTGTATCAGAGGCAGATCGCGCGCCCCCCACGTGTTGGCGACAAAGAGAACAAGGACCATGGCGAACACCAACAACGTTCCCTGCCAAGCTGTTGGTTCGTAATCAGGATTGTTGATCTGAATCAAAGCTTGAATAATGGTTCCGGTCAAGAACGAGCCTGACGCTGTCCCAGCCTGCCAACTGAGTGTTGAAAACCAACCGGTTAAATAGCTCAGGCTCTTCTGATATCTCGGCGGAGCGAACTCAGACACCCAATGGTATTGGCCGCCGCTCGTTGGAGCCCTAGAGTTGTTAGAGGCTGCTCGTACATGCGATGGCGTTGAGCATACATGGAAGCCATCTCGGCCAGAGATGTCATGACGATACCAAATCCAATAAAGGTCCAGACGTAGGTCCAGAAGAATCCAGCAATGCCACCATCGACCAAAACCTGAGTGTTCGCTCTGCACGAGGATCAGAAGCTGGATAAGAGTGGCCAGGTTGGCCATGCCCGACACATTGCAACTCACATCAATAGGAATTCCCACGTCGCTTGTAGAAGGGCGGTAAATGCCAGAGCAGAAATAGGTCGAAAGTTGCGAATCAATTCTTGACGTTTTCCTAGACGTTGCATATCCCTTTGGTCTTTGGTGGTGTAGCCCTTGTCGAGGATACCAACGTCGTTGTAACAGCCCTCATCTTCGATGCCATCGAAAGAAGCCAGCTCTCGAGCAGTAAGTGATGCATCCGCGACCTTGTCTAGAGTCATCTTGATAGCTTCAGAATAACAGATACGAAAACGGCAGCGACAAAGTCAGGTGGAGAGATAGGAAAGCACTGGAATATGATTCGAGTTCGATCAAAAGGGAAGACGAGTTTGCATCTAGTATCACTTTGAAGCTACTCCTTGGAGTTCAGGTTGGTGCCGACCCTGATACTAGTAGCACGCAGACAGGAGGGGGTATCAGTTGCAGAAGCCATGTTGAGGGGCTTTCGAGGACTGAGGCGAATTAGCGAACCAGGGTTGACAAGACGATACAGGGATCAGCTCTGCATGGGCGACCTCTCTGGCGTTCTCTGGCGTCTCTGCTAACTCAGAGACCGAGTGGTGTGCTAGTTGCCTCCCCATTGGGATGCACAATATTCCCGGTCGACTGACAGGTTTTGACTGTGGGACTCTCGATCGCCCCTTGACGGCCATCTTGCTCACCATGTTGCACATGCGTGATTAGTGGTTTGCAATTCAGCGAACTGGCGGTGGTGGAGATTGTAGGCTTTGCCCCGCTCATGAGCAGGTCTCGAGGGTCTTTCGCCGTCCCATCTTGCCATGGGATCGGGGGATGCTGGAGAACTTGACTACCTCGGTTGCTTCTGGGACGAACAGACTGAATGTTTTGATGTCAAAGTACAGAAACCTGGTGTCCCATGGTTACCTGCGTAACAAAATTCGACTAGAAGCGAAAAGGGAATCAAATCCGAACCTGACGGTTGCCTGCAAGCCACAGATCAAACCCCCTCCCAGGTGGGAGGTGGGTTCTGGATACTTTGCGCCGAGCAGAGAGAATAGAGGTGTTTTGATCCCAAGTGGTGACGTTTGACTTTAACGTCCTGCCAAGACGCTTAACTTTCCTGCGAAAATCCACCATCAGTCTACGAAGATTCAACGCAACACTGCATCTGCGCCAGAGGAGTTGAGAAGACCGTTGCCCCGCGCTGTTGCTGCCCTTCCTCAACCTTGGGGCTAACCCTCGCAATCCTCGCACAATGGCCCAAGGACAAATCAAGAAATCGTCCAAATCCTCCTCCACGAAACTCTCGACCTCTGGAGGAATCACCAAGAAGGGCTCGCGGACGATAACCCCCAAAAAGGCAAAGTTGTTGAAGCAGGCCAAGTTGAACAAGAAATATACCGCGGGGCTCACCGCGAAGACAGAGGCCATGCTAGGTGCACGTGCTGGACATCTGGAAATGCTGGGACAGGCGAAGAAGAAGGACGGCGCAACTACAGCCAACGGCAAGGGAAAAGATGGGAAGAAGAGTGGGAAGAAGGCTTGATACTTGGTGATGCGATCGCGCTGTTCAAACACGATCCTTGTGCACGATCACTCTTCCTATGAATTCTGTCGAGGCGAAGACAGACTTTCGGCTGGGGATATGATCTTGCGAAAGAGACGATACATTCTACACCGGAATACTGATCCTCATGAGTGGTCAACGATTCCTGCCAGAGAGGACTCCCCCACTACGTCTAGGTCGAACTCTTTGACGATACAGAGGACGCATCCTTTGACAGCACGTAAATCCTGGACTACAGCACTGGGAATAAAGTCGAAAGTCGATGCTTCAACGGAGCACTGCAGCATATAGGATTCGAAAGCTCAAGGACTACAACGCCCATCCTGGTATATGGTCCAACAACCAAAGGAACGCCCGCAAAGCCTATGTCTTACATTCCACCCAGCGCTCGAGCAGCTTCACCCCCACCGCTTTGAACCATGGCCTGCTGGCTCAAGTCGGCTCTGAGTTTGCCTTTGGCAGGTCCACCTTCGCCGACACCCATTCTCCGCGCAACATACCTTTGGGCCAACATACCAATCGCCAGACTCAGTGTTTCTTCAACCCACTCGCTCACCCATTCTCGGGGGTCGATACCACCACTTTCAATAATCTCTTCGATGCTCTCAGGCAAAGTGCCTTCCCCGCCACTCGGGGCATCTAGCCACTCGATCCATTGTCCGGGAATGGCTTGAGAGACGACCTGGAAAGTGATACCGTGAATGGGGTCGTGCAGATAGACAGCAAACACAATCTCGTCAGTGGTGTTCTCCTTCGCCTCTTTCACTTGCTCGTCCTTCTCCGAACTCGGTGCTGGGGCGAACAGTTCTTCTGACACCGGTTGTGCAATGGCCTGGATTGCTAGGAAAATCTCGCTGTCTCTGGTCGGATTGGAGGTCGAGAGTGTTTCCGTAGCCCGCTTGGCAGCTTCTTCAACTCCGCCCTTGGTTCCAAAGTACTCTTCAGCGTAGCTCTCGGCAGAGGCCCTGACGAGCTTAGTACCCTCAACAAGGCCTTTGACTGCGTTGATACTTCGAGGTTCTCCGCTCCTCCACCATGGTCCATCATGCCAGGAGCCCAATGGTCGCGACATTTCTCTCGATTCTCTTTTGGGTCCGGCTTCGTGTCCTCTTTGAACGACCATCAAGTCTCCACCCTCGACTTGTGCCATGACACGGCTAAAGACTTGGTAGACGAGGGGATCGAGGGTGGGATAGTTTGACAGGTCGTGGGTGATATGGATTTGTAGTCGTTCGTGGGAAGAGATCGGAGGAGCAATGGTCTGCAAGATGTTCTGAAACGTGGGCATAGCTATGTTTCTGAGGTCACCGCCTGTCGTAGCTGTTAGCCTGCAAACCCTCCAGTTCAACGCTCAACGTCCATACCAAACCCTTTGAGCACACCGACATTTCCTCGGAGCTGCTCTGCCCATTTCTGTGCTTCTTCATTCTTTTGTATTTCTTTCACAGCCGCCTGGGCCTGACTGACGGCGGCAGAAGCAGTCGAGAGCAATCCCCCCCACCACCCACCGCCGCTTTTGGCCGCTGCTGAGGTCGGCTCAGGCTGCGATTCATTTTCTGTGGACTCTTCAGTCGTTGTGGTCGCTGGTGTGAAGCTCTGATGGAACGAACGTGTACTATCACCCGACTTGCGCTGACCGCTGCTCGACTTCTCTTCGCTTGTCCGGCCAGGAGGCGGGGTGGCCGTCGAGGTTCGCTTGGGGGATCTGTTGCCTGTGGCCGAAGACACGTTTGGTCGCAGCGATGGAGTGGCAGGTCGGCTAGCTGGTCGTTGGGCCAAGTTTCCCAGTTCAGCGAGCAGGTCTTGTTCGTTTTGTGACGATTGAGCCGGTTGTCCTTGTCGGGCAGTTCTGGTGGAGGGCTTAGGGGCACGCGTCGAGGCCTGCGTGCTCAGATCGTCAAGCTGTGCCAAAAGCTCATCGTCGGTAGGTGCCGCCTTCTTTGCAGCCATGGTCATTGCATGTAGAGATCGAAACAGACGGGGATGGAGGTGGACAATCTGGCGTGAGAGAGACGAGTTGAAGACGCAGGGAGGCTAGGAAACGTGCACGGACGTGACTATGACGGCAAGGACGGCCATCAAGATCCGCTTTTGGGGAATAAGTGGTGCCGCTCTAAGCCACCTTGGGACAAAAGCATATGGACTCAAAAGACAACGTCCCACACTCAACTTTGTCTATCCCTTCCAGTCAAATCAACTTCCTTTCTGGCACCCACTCTGATTCTCACTGTACTACACAACAGAGCTCAGACCCTCAAACAAACCACACGTTCCCAAATCTGCACCGCCGGCCGAGACTGAAGCGGCAAGGCGACAAATCGAGATCGGCTGGGGCGAATGACCACGATGTGAGCGATCGGATAGTTTCTGCTGTTATTCCTCTTTCATGACCCGCTGAATGCCGCTTGTCTCCTCGTTGAATAGATTGTCTGTCAACCACGACCTGGAAATGGAACCGAAAATTCAGCAAATGCGTTGCTCCGGGACTACAAGAGTCCACATGACTAGATGCCTTGGATACACCTGCCTGCCAAATGAGTTGAAGAAATGTACCAGAGCCTGCAAGGAGTGCAACTTCCAAGTGCACCGATATAATACGGATTGAGTAAGGAGGACAACGAGACGACGACAAGGGGTATTTCTGAAATGTAGTAGTAAGTATTGTTCTGGGATGCATTTCTTTTCTCTTCATATCTCCCAGCAACAACGCATGGTTCGAAGCATCATACTATCTTCACCCTGGCCGCGGCCTGTTCCTGAGAGCATATGACAACTACTAGTATTGCCTCAGATCATTCAAGAATACACTACAGTTCTTCGCTACCAAACCAAGTCGCTCGAGCACACACACAGCATTGTAACTAGACAAAATAAACCCTTCTCCGACCCCGCGGATATAGCTCACAACGCCTCTTATCCCTTCACTCTTCATTGCTGCATACTCCCGACGTGCAGTGCGATCAACGAGAACTTGAGAGTACTCAAAGACAATGATACTCAAAATGCTACATCGTGTTATACGTTCCCCATTCCTTGCTACCTCTCCCATTCTGCTCCTTCTTTTACTCGTCCAAATTTCGAGCGCAACGCCCTTGACCGCTTTCGGTGGACACGAACAAGATGTCCTTCTCCCTCGTGCGATCATGAAAAACGGCACCTGCGACGAAGGCTACGAATGGACCGTCATCACCCCGCTCTCGACTCAAGGCGCCACGTGCTGTCCGGTCGGGTACAAAGGAGAAGAGGCAAAGATGTTGGGTAATCTGGCGGGGACGTTCTGCTGCCCCGAGCATATCGACACGGTGCCATGCGATGCCCACGACCGCGAAATGCCAACGACACCCCTCACCTGTCCGGAGCCGGGGCAGCTAATCGGCGCGCTCTGCATGTATTATTATTGGTAGAGGAGCCTTCTTCAGAGAAGAGGTCGGACTGACGGACCTGAATACTGGAATTGCCTTTTGGACAAATTAGGGACGACCGCTAAGAAGGCAGACAGGGAATGGTTGACGGTTCAGTGGTGTTGGGCCCTGGAACCGAAATGGTTTTACGTATCAACCACTGCAGCGAGCTTTCTACCAAACACGGCGAATTGAAATTCAGCGCCGTTGAGCTGGGTGACCACCCTTCATATGGGGAGAGCGTGTTACGTGTCAGGGCAATGCTCCAGATAAGAAGTCATACTGGACTGGGCTAGATATCAAGCACTCGCCATAAGAATACAAATCTGAGCCTGGTGTCGAGTTGTCCTCTGCATTGACTTAGTTAATCTAGAGGCAGAAATCGGTCTGCCTCCTGTCTGTAATGCTCTGCCGTCGAACCTTGGTTCGATGCCCATCCAGTCGTCCCGATCTCTGTGAGAGCGGGCGAATCAGTAAGTCAAGGCCTGCTGGAGGGGACAGGACCAAAGTCACAAACAAGCCCCTGACGCCAACTTGCTTCACATATCCATCTCTCACTAACATCGGCTGAATCTCGAGTGACAAGTGACAGTGACGGTGAACGATGTTCCGACTTCCACTTCACTCCAACCCCGAGTCACCCCTGAGATGTCTTCACTCCGGGACGTGTCGTTTGCTTGAAAAAGCGCGAAAGAAAACTGACCAGCCGCAACGCTTGAACAGAGCTTGAGGACTGATCTATCGTGAGAAGGCACTTTGAATCTTCTTTTCTGTTGGAGTGGCTCGAACTTGATTCGGGGTGTCGTGACCATCCTCGTCGCCGGCTCTTGAACCGTCGAGTTGACTCATTATTGTCCCCTCATTCTTGTACCCAACCAGGTATTCTGGCCTTGTAAGAAGGCTCATCAAGATGAATCAAATCACAGTCAAAGATGAGTCCGGCGCTGTCGCAAGTGAGAGGAGGTTGTCTCCAAGCTCGCCCGGCACTGGATCAGCAGGCTTCGCTCGCCACATCGAGACGCAGGATGAATGGCCGTCCAGTCGAGATTTCGCCCAGAGATATAGTCGGTACGACACACAGGGCTTCTTGGTCGATTTCGAACATACAACCGCATACACGCTACCCAGGAAGGCACCCGTGCCTCCCCGTCCCAGCACACCAATCTCACCGTCCGGTCTCACCAGCATCACTCTTATCGACCAGTCGTCTTCGCAATCGGTGCCACTGATTGCGATACCATACGAGTCTACATCTGAGGCAGACTCCCAACCACACGCAAGACCTCAGATCAGGTTCAGCGACACGTACCGGAAGTGGTGGTTGCAGCAATATTCCCGGCCGGAGCCACTGGTGCGGCTTGCGTCTAGGACTTCAGCTCAGGGAAGCCGGCAAGGTTTCTGGCTCGCTCGAGGTACACTGAAAGGGTGTGACGAGGTGATGATGCAGCAAGGCCCCGGGTATTGGTTGGCAAGGGCGACAATGAAGGACGCTAAGCAGGACGGCGAGGCAGGGAGCGCTGACATACCCTCTCGGTTCTGGGGTCGTGTCGTCGACAAGGTACGAAGAATCAGCGGCGAAGAGAAATGACCCTGTGAGATGAAGAGTTCAGACGTCCTGGAAGTTGGTCAAGTTTCACCATTTGCAGACCTCTTGTCACCATCGTCGAAGTGGCTAGCATGGATCTCAGCCAGGTTAAATCTCTTTAATGTTTCATAATCGCTTCCCACCACGCTCATTCCAACCACATTTCGATACACATCGACAAGGACAAGCTTGTCATAGCCTTTCAAGTCGACCGAGTGTTTTCCGTGTCCCAGAGCGGTAATCTTGTCGGCGACTGCGCGAATAACTTCGTCTCGACCAATTTTGTTGTTGTTGCGGATTGTCGGTCGGATAGCGAACTTGCATGGTCGCTGTTTCAGCTCAACGTCGTTCTTGGAACTTGTCTCGTCCTCGTCGGCTACGTCAACATCGATCGAAAAGTGTTTGGGCAGGACTTGATCACACAATGATTGCAGTCCATCATTCAAGGTCTTCCGAATTAAAGTGACTGGAGTGAGTCTCTTGATGTAGCGACTTCGTGGCCCCGCATCTTCCTTGCTCGAGGCCGAAAGGCACAATTTGCGGACTGTTTCAACAGGATCAAAAGATGTGTTTCTAGGAAACCGTACAAAGGAGACGCATGGAATATCGAGAGTTATAAAGGAGAACTTCGGTGACGACACATCCTGAGGCTCTCGATTAGTCCTTAAGGAGTCCAACTCAGCGAGGACATCGGCCTCGATGTCAACCTCCCCCACGTCACCGTTGTCTGGGTTCATGTCTGATGTTGCCTCCACGGGCTGACCGCTTGGTTCAGCCGCAAACAACTGATGGCATGGTCAGTTAATGTCACATGGCAGGTAGACACTGCGCTCACCTCATCTAACAAGTCAGATAGCTCTTGCAAGCATTTCTTCTCCTGACCCTTGTCACAGGTGACGAAGATTCCAACATCATCGCTATGGATTCCGGACGCACTGATGGCGGCGAGGCGGCGAGATTTCGTTCGCGAATCCTGTGGTTTCGGAGTCCGATACTTGCTTTTGCCCATATTGTCTTTGCGAGGCTTTGTGTCTGATTGTGACTGTGTATTGTCCATTTTAAGCCTTTTGGGTGATCTGCTCATCGACTCATCAGGATGCATGTCCGGGAGAGCCTGAACCTTCGCCGTATCTGTCTAGGAGATTCGTATAACTAACAGGAGTAGGAGACTTCGAGTTTTTCAGAGATTTGCGCCGTTGAAGTTCGTATAGGATGAAGAGAACGACGCGATTATTCTTCGAGGCTGCAAAGTGCAAAATGGGCGCTGGCTGATGCCAAAAGCCACTAATCCTCTTTCGGAATGCGGCGTATTTCTTGTTTTGTCTTCTTCGTCTCCCCCGTCTCCCCCATATTCTTTCTCCTCTCCTTGCTTCTATTCTGATAACCACCCTGGACGTCTTTCTCAATGCTAAGTTGCTCCTGCACTGACCGGTCGTCTATCCTGGCTTCGGCCACTGGTCGTCTCACCGTGACACCCGCGTTGAACCGGACAATGGAGCCATTTGTCCAGTGCCGGCCTCGTGATGGCCTGGTTTAAGCGCCTCTCGCGACCGAGGAGGCGACTATGGGGATGGTAGTACAATCCCATCTCTCCTCCGGTGGCTTTGGAAGTCATTGCCTTGATTCCTTGATTGGTTCGTTCCCTGGCCCATTTCTGGACAAGCTTGTCGAAGCTCTCTCCGTGTGACTATCAATGCTTCAAACCCCTGTTTAGGAGGGCGTGGACCACAGTGTCGCTCTGCATGATGCATATATGGGCACATTTCAAGCAGCAAAAAGCATATTATGATCCATGACAGACCGGCTTTCTCTTCTTCTTCTTGTTCTGATCCTCTTTCTTCTTCCTGTGGCTCAATTACCCCGATGGCGTCCTTTTTTGGCCCAAAGACGCGGGCTGACTCCTCAAAAATGATTGTCAATGGAGGACTTGGTGGACTTGTATGTCCAGAACCCACGGTTGTACACCAAGTGCAGGAGAAGATGGATAATAACATTGTGTCCAAACTGCGTCGTCGGCCTCCTCCACTGCGAATATCAAGTGGTTCTGATGCTGCATCTTGGTCACCATGTCTGGCTTCAGCACCACCATGCTCCGGGCTTGGAGGACTCTTGACTCCCAAGACTCCCACTGACCGACGTAAATATTCACTACTGGGGTTTGATTTCAGGGATAGGTCTTCACCGTCAACAACACGGTACAACCCTGCCACACCCTTGACACCGGGGTTTTCCCTGCCGGAGATGCCAGCCAGTCCGACATCACTGTATTCACCAACAGCGGCAGAGTTGCCAGGTTCACTTTTGTTGGCAAGCCAAGGTTTCCCGCAAACAAATCCCATATCACCCCCGCCATCTCTTCGACTGCTTCGCCGAGACACTGATGATTCCACGACAAGCTCTGTGCCAACTCTCTCAACCTCCGCATCTAGCGATGACGAAACAATGGAAGCTTTGCGAAGCCTGACCACCCCTTTGAGAAAGCACGACCGGTCCGTCGGAAGCACGATGCCTCTCTACACCATCGGAAGCCGCGCCCCCGCAGGCCTACAGTCCACACAGCCATTTACTGCAATGACCATCGAGGAGCTGCTGGATAAACTGCCTGAATGCGACCATGCGACCATATCCCAGCACTGGTTGCCCGCTATGCGCAGTCAACTGCAGAAGATGACGACTCTGCTCAACGAAGCTTGTAACCTGAAACTCGAGTCAAGCGTTGATCAAGTAAACCTGAGTAGTGTAAGAAGCTCGACCTTTGCGACCACCTTTGGCACTGACCTTCCTCAGGCCCTCAAATCCTTCTGCGATCAACTGCGCTTGATCACGGCCGAGTACCGCAAAATTGTCGAGTCCGCGGAATCGCTTGCTGAACGAGATAACAAGGTCTCTCACGAACAACTGAATGAACTCGAAGGGCAGGTAGAGGAAGCTTTGGAGAGGATGACGGCCAAAGACAAGGAAATCGAAGACAAAGACCGAAGAATATCAGAACTTCGAAATACCGTTCACGAAGTCACCCGCCTCTTGGGCACATTCATCCAGAACAATGTCCCTAGCTGGGCGCATACCATCGACGAGCCCAAGACTCTACAGGTTCTTCGAATCATAGCCGACTACACGCGCAACGAGCCTCACGAGTCTGTGGATTACGTTCGAATCGCCGAGGAGACCCTAGATAAATATGTTGGAGATTTGCGCGACGCGCGAAACCTCATCAGAGACTATCGCAAGGTATTGCATGGGCAGGGAGCCATGATCCAAGACCAGTCGAAAAACCTCGACGCATCCGTGGACAGGTACGACAAGGCAGTCAAGCTTGTCCAGCAGAAGGATCACGAGCTTTTGCTTCTTGTGCAACAGAACGACGATCTAAGCAGAGACTTGCAGGAATGTCGAGCCGCACTTGCCGAGAGCCAACAGATGCGGACGGACTCGGAGAGGATGGAAAGAAGATATGAAGAGCTGCGAGGGACTATGGTCAGCATGCAAACGAGCTATACACTGGAACTTGATCAACGCGATGCCGAGATATCGAATCTTCGTCAAAAGCTGGGTAGTGCTCGCGAGGAGGTTTTCGCGCGACGGGAGGATGTCAAGAACGTCATCTCCCAAGCCAACGCGATGCTCCAGCCGCCTACCGATGCAGCCGCCATGGCTGCAAAGAACAGCAGCACGTCCAAAGCCTTGAGGTTCTTTGGAATGGAGAGGGACAAAGACAAATACCGCAAGGGCACTCTCCCCACGAGTTACAGCATGATTGGACTCCCATCGGAGGATTCGAGGTTCTCGTCCAAGGAGGTGGCTTCCACGGTCGATCGCGCAGCACTTCGCCACAGACCTTCTTTGCAGACACACGCAAATCCGCGAGCATTGACGACACCAAATACACCCATTGATAGCTGTCAGAGTTCGAACGAGACTGTCATGACAGCACCAACGTATCGGCCACGATCTGATTCACTCGGTGCTGTACGTTGTGGCGCTCCCACTACATCTTCCATAGATACCGACAAGTCGCTTCCTGACCCCCCAGCGTACCCGAGGCCTCATCCCCTGGCGGCTCGAGTTGCTGAAATTGCTCCGTCAATCGAGAGCCCCCTCGCGGCACAGATCACATCAGATTACTTTAAGAATGGTATCATGGGACAGACCGCTGCGCGACGCGTGCTCAGCAAAATCACCGAAGTTTCCGATATCAACTCATCTCCGGACAGTGGCCTCCAGACGGAGCGAGTTCTGGATGAAAACAAATCCGACCACAGTGTCGCCAGCAGCGATCGTGAAGTCTACCGTAAGAGCATCTGCGCGTTGGATATGTTGAACTTATCCAGTGGACTACCCTATAGCGACACGGAAACCGACATTGAACGAATAATTCGTGGTGGAGGTCCTAGGAGTCCACCGAAGCCCAGCTATTTTCATGCCTACCAGGAATATGAAGCCCGCGACGATGGAGGAAGACAGCAGCAGCAAGACGAGTATGATGAAGAACAAGTTCACACCGGTGTGGCGCATGTCCTCCACCTTCGACCGGGAACACGGAACCTCAGAGGAGCAAGTGCAAGGTCGAGCGAAGCAGACAGTCGGGAGTACGAGAGTGATTCTGGACGAGAAGGGAGACGGGAGAGACTTAGGGAGAGCATGGTGAGCAACGAGTCGGGCTATCGCACAGAAGACTCGGAACCAAAGACTGTGGCTCAGCTGTATCATCAGGGGAGACGGCATATTCGTGGTTGATGAGCAACTACCGAGTAGACTTGTCGACCAAACGCAAGTGCTTGGGGATGGATGACTTGATGCACGCGGTTGTACGACTGACCATCGGAGAATGAGGATCGTGTGGCAGTGCATGAAGGCTGTTCCGGCCTGGCTGGTGGAGTTGGGAACGTTATCACGAGAGCTGAAGATCAAGAGAATTGGCCGACATGGTCATTGATGAGGGCTGGATGAATCGAGGGTTAATAAAGCTTACAGCCAATCTTGAATAGTTTCTCCCCATAGTAAGCGAGACATCAATCAACAGGGTTGCTTCGCTGCTCAACCTGGCTGGCGGTGCAGCAGAAACCTTTCACACAGTGAGGAAGAGCAATTTCACCGAACTCTGGCCTCAGATGAGATTACCTTTTCAAAGAGCGGGCGCTCCATCGAAAAGGATAGCGATTCAGAATGGCGAGGGAGGCACTGCTGAATGTTTGATATAGGTATTGATATTGATATTAATGTGGCAACAATGACTTGTATTGTACAGAGTAGGGCCAGCAGGATCGCAGGACCGCAGATCCGCAGGACAGTAGTGCAATGGTGCAGCAGAACAGTATTGCAGAAAGGACAGTAGCGCAACAGTATAGTAGTGCAGTAGTTCAATAGTTCAATAGTGCAGAAGGACAGTAGTACAGTAGTACCGTAGTATAGAGTACAGATCTGCCCACTGCCGCATCAGAGAGCAGAGTAGTGTAGTGTAGTACAGCGTAGAGCAGCAGAATGAGATATGATAGTACCACTCAGAGGGAATGCCGCAGAGAACCAACACCCACGCCCACGCCCACGCCCAACGCAAAGCAAAACAATGTGAAAGACGAGCGAGGATGCCATCCGTCTTGCTTCCTTCCGGGTTTGGAGTCGACCCGTTATCAAACATGGGTGGTCCCTTTTCAGAGAACATGCTTTCCCCCGGCTTGGAGTGGAGTGGCGAGAGACGTGGATAATGATGGTTTGTCTCTGCCTGGTTTGCTTCCCTGGCTGGCGCAAAGTCAAGCATCTACCGTCAAGGCGATCTCTCTGTCTCATCCATCTTACACCTCTGTATAGTTCCATCCCCGTGAACCATGTGGCAGATTTGTCTGCCCTTGTAGATTGCGGTGGCGCACAAACTACAGGAAGCAGAATGCTCACTTTCAGGGAAAGCCTTGCCCCGTCGAGTCATGCCGTCTGTGGCGGACGTGAGACCGGCTCCGAAAGTGTTGAGTGCAGCGAAAATAAATGCTGGCTTCGACAAAGAGGCAGAATTTGCAGCTATCGCTCCCGTCGCAAAGAGCATGGCGGGTGGATATTCAGTGGTTGCGTTGAAGAAGATGTTCAAGAAGATGTTGTAGATAGTGTCGTCTGAAGGCACATAAACATGGTCATTCGCTCAGGATGACAGGGCTTGTAATTTCCTGTAGGCGTTGCTGGTGCCAGGAGGGTGCGAGGCATTGATCAGGGGACATAGACAAGGCCGAAATCCCTCTAGGGATCAATCCCATCGGTGAGGACTTCAAAAATACCCTTTCGGGAGAGACCGACAGCCGCGCAGATGTCAAGCGACACAATGATTCAAGTGGTAGGCAATGTTTGTTGACTTCAGGTGTCCTTTTGTGAACTCTGGCGGCCAAACTCTATCCAATCTCTTGTAAATGACTTCTTGATGGTCCTTAAATCTCTCTGCGTTGAGGCTGCCATGGCCTATCGGACCTGACTACCTTCAACCGCTGCTTCGTGCTTCATGGACGCCTCACGCCCAGATTTAGGGTGCAGGGTTTGCATTTCTATCTCATTCTCCTTGCGACCGACAGCATTGCGCCTGGCGGTGGGGTTGGCAATGGTAAGGCTCTCAGATAAGCTTCGGATTTGAGGCTGCACGACGCGTGAGATATTATGGTAGCCATTCTGAGGGAGTTGGATGAGGAGATTGTGCAGGCAGGAGAGAACCATGGTTGTGAAGCGGCCCATGGCTGCGGATCGCGCGTCGGATTTTGAGAGGTACGGAGGCACGGCTTGGTTCCCAGGATCAATGAGATGTGACGAGGTCTGATAACCGGAGAGCGTTGTCGTGGGCGGGAAATGCAATACACAAGTTAATCGCAGTGCTGAAAGATGAGAACGGTGATGAATATGCAAGTTGGAGAACTGCGCATGCACTGTGATGTAGTAGAAGCGTCTCAGGAAAGGTGCTTCTCGGTAAATGCGGCAATGCGTGTAGCCGCTGAGTAGAGTGTGACGGCGTTGATAAAGGTGACAGGGGTAGAGCGATTCAACCTCGACGATGGGGAGAATGTACGAGACACTCGGTACGAGAGTGCTGTTGAGCGTATCTTCACATGTCTGTCTTGATAAAAGGACAGTCCAACATACTGCTCAGTCAGTAATTTGTCCAGAAGAAGAGGAGGGACAACAAGTGGATAAGGCGATAAGGCACAGACGGGGGATGTTTATTGTTCTTGGTGCGGGTTGTTTGTGGCGGGAATGCGGAGGAATGGGGAAGAATCCACAATTCGAAGTATGAAAGTGTATCTCGTGCCCTCGTACAGTATTATTATTATCTCCTTGTGCTCGCCCCTCAATGTCTCCCTGCGGAAATCGTTTCCGCCCTCCATTCACCCACTCATCCACTCACCCATTGTCCCAATGTAACCACCGGCCAAACAGATGATAACCGCTTCATATCTTTATTGACCAAGCACAACTTTCCCGTCACAGTATACCTCCTCGTACCAGTGTCATGGCAGCCGATATTCCAACCTGCAGGTGGGGAATAGTATGTATGCCACCACTACTCCCATGCTCTTTACGAAGTGGCACTACTGACAGCCTCTGCAGCGACCGGTCTCATTTCTTCCTGGTTCGTTGAAGACTTGGTCCTCCACCGACCCGATGCCAAAGCAAAACATGTCATCCAATGCATCGGGTCCTCATCGATGCAGAAGGGTAAAGACTTCGCCGCAAAACATTGCCCGAATGCAACCCCCACCATCTATGCTTCATATGATCAAGTCTACTCGGACCCAGACGTGGATTGTGTCTATATAGGAACTCCACACTCCTTTCATAAAAGCAACTGCCTCGATGCCATTGCCGCCGGGAAGAACGTTCTGTGCGAGAAATCGTTCACCATCAACGCCCGCGAGGCACGAGAGGTGCTCGATGCTGCAGAGAAGAAAGGTGTTTACGTCCACGAGGCGATGTGGCTACGGCATCGACCTCTGGTGGCAGACTTGAGGAAGCTACTATTCAAAGATAATGTCATTGGGGATATCTTCCGTATGTCCTCTGACTTCAGCTTACTGGTGCACATCCCTAGTTTGCCAGACACCTCGCGATACAAAGATCTTAAGCTTGGTGCCGGAACATTGCTAGATACTGGCATCTACCCGCTAACATGGGCGTTCCTGGCACTGGATCCCAACACCCCTGAAAACTCTGAAAGACCGACCATCCTTGCAACTCAAAGCCACCTCCACGGAGTCGAAGTCACTTCGAGTATCCTGGTACAATACCCATCGACGGGAAGACAGGGAATCGTCAGCTCGACCACCATGTCGGGCGGGTTTGGCGAAGCCATTTGCCGCATTCAAGGCACCGAAGGCTACATCGATGTACATGGCGCAGCGCCATCGCATCCTCTGTCCTTTACAGTCTATCGACGGAAAGAAGACAACAAACATGACTTTGAAAGCAAAACATACGACTATCCTCGTGTCGGGCGGGGGTTTTTCTACGAGGCGGACAACACCGCCCTCGACATTGCGGCTGGCCGGAAAGAGAGCGCCATCATGCCTTGGAAAGAGACTATCCGCGTCATGGAGATTATGGACGAGATCCGAAGGCAGGGAGGAACGAAATACCCTCAGGATGAAGTGATGCAGGAATAATGAGCATTGGGTCGTCAGCCTCGTGATGGCGCCAGCCTTGTGACCACCTCAGCCTCGCTGACGTCATATTCAGGGGGACGGAGCGCGTGGTTCGCGATCCCCGGACCTTCATTCCTCGAACAAACTCTCCTTCAATATCAGACAGTGGCCTTTTATATACCGAGAATATATCAACAAAAGCTGCCCTCGCTCGCTTATTCTTATTCTACAGCTGATCGCTCACTCCACAATGACCTCCTTCTATCAACTGCTGTCTCAAGTGCCCGTCCTGTCCTCGTTTCTACTTCCCGCTCCTCTCATAACAACCGACAGCGTCAGTCAAGACACCCTTTCATCTTCAACTTTCAACCCCTCAGTCTGCCCCAACCCCCCGTCCCTATCATGTCCGTCGCCCCCGGCGCAAGATATAAACACATGCTGTGTGAACCACCCGTCAGGACACTTCCTGCAGACCCAGTTCTGGGATACGGAGCCACCCATCGGGCCCAACAACTCTTGGACCATTCACGGCCTCTGGCCAGATCTCTGCACGGGAGGGTTTGACGCGTTCTGCGATTCTTCGCGCTCGCATTCCGACATTCGGACCGTCCTCCGCCACGCCCTAGAGGGCCAAGATGGTGCAGGTGAGGCGCACGGTGGAAATCATCCAGCCATGGTCGACGAACTGCTCTCGTTTATGGAGACGTACTGGCTCTCCCTCAACGGCGACCACGAACACCTGTGGGCGCACGAGTGGAACAAGCACGGCACGTGCATTTCGACCCTCGAGCCGGACTGCTACGGGGCTCCTCCGCCGACACCAAACCGGCGGCACCGCCACCTCGACGTCCTGGATTACTTCATCCACACGACCTCCCTCTTCAAGACGCTCGACACGTACTCCATACTTGCGGAGGCCGGCATCCTTCCCTCGTCCCAGAAGCGATGCACGCTCCAGGAGCTGGAGGAGGCTGTCCAGTCCTCTCCACACGGCCAGCCGGTGACGTTCCGCTGCAACCGCCGCGGCGAGCTGGACGAAGTATGGTACCATTTCGCGGTGATGGGCTCGCTGAGACATACATCTTACGACCTCGAGGACGGCGAAGCCAGATCCGAGGCCGAAGCCATCATGATGTCTCCCCGAGAAGACCATGGGCGCGACATATCCTCCTCCTCCTCCTCTCTTTCTAACCTCTCTCACTCGCCGTTCCTCAACACCACCACCGTGCGGAAACACTTCGTGCCCGTCCCGCCCGACGGAGCTCTCTCAAACTGCCCGAGACGCGGGATCAAATACCTCCCCAAGACGCCTGGTGACGAGGCGCCACTCCCGCCCCCACCCCCCCTCTCCTACAAAGACTACCACCACTGTCGGTGGCGAACCCACCTCCACCACCGCCCCCTTCACAGGCAAAGGCCACCTTGAAATCCACGTGCTTGACTCTGCGCCCACGTCCGAGACCGAGGCCGAGTCTAAGCCCGAGACCACCACCACACGAAAGGGCTGCCTCATCCGCCAGGGCCAGTGGTACGTCTCGGGCACGTGCGCGACCTTCCGCGCCCAGCACGACGTCGTTGACCCGGGCCACCAGGCCTTGTTCTCCCTCTCGTCGTCGTACTCGCCGTGTCTGGTGAACCCGGTCACCGGCAGATTCGAGTGTGCAAACTCTGCAAAGGTCCAGGGCATCTTTTCTTACGCCGACAACGGGCATGGCGCCAACGTGCTCGCATATCACAACCACAGCATCTTCTACGCACACACCACTCCGAAGAGGTTCGAAAAAGTGGATCTGTTTGCTGATGATGGAAATGGCGCGAGGAAAGTCCAGGTGGAGATCCATTGGGTACCAGCATAGTTCTGGCGTCCGGCATACAGGTGTCTGAACAAGTTGCGCTATCCACTATTCCTGTTGACTGGAATGTTTAGCTGCGGCATTGTTACATCCTTTATCCATCTCATGGCGCTCTTCGCCAATATACTCTTCACTTGCTTCCACTTTCCGGCGGCAACAAGTCGTCGCTACTTCCAGGCCAACTCATCCCACTGACTCGACGTCCCATCTTCTTGACCTCTCGCATTCCGGCTCCAAACAGGGTTTTGACCCTCTCTCCACTGATCTGTCTCTCCGTCTTACGCCGTGATTTGACGATCTTCTCTTCCCCACCTCCAGGCACCTTGACCAGCTCCACTCGTGATGGCAAGGTGTTGTTTGCAGCCTTTGGGGGCGGGCAAACATGTCCACTCTCGAGCATTGCCACACTCAAAGAATCTGTCACTTCTCCCGAGGCATCAACTTTGCAACAGGAAGAGAAGGATTGAGGCTGAACAGATCCTGAGATTTGCACAGCCATTGGGGATGGTACTGGATCCTTACTCCGCCCTCGACTCCTGAAAACACTTACAGATGGCATTTGTGGGTTTGAAAGTCGGTGCGCTTCGGCTGCTCTGCGAGATGCACGTTCCTCTCGCTCCTTCATAGCCTTTGCTCGCGTCTCGGGAGAACACTCGAAGTAGGATGTTCGACGACGATGTGAAGTGAGCTGGACAGTATTCGACTTCGGCAAAGATTTGCCCTCAATAACATGCTGTCTCTTTGGTACGAGAGGAATGAGAGATGCCAAATTGCCTGTGGTCTTGCTTTTCGCCATAGTGCCTTCACCGTAGAACGCTCTCGAAGTTTCGGTCAACCCGGCCTCAGCATTGACGCTCGATACTCTACTGCTTGGTGTCGAGCCATGTCCAGGAGAGGTTGACATGCTCAACGAGAATGGTTTGAAACCATTTGACCCCGACATGCCCAGCCGCCTTTCCACTTCTTTACCCCCAAACGCGAGACTTCCGGCTCGATGGAGGCTTTGACGCGAAACTCCTAGCTTTTTGAGGAGGATATTCTCAAAGTCTTCAAAGCTCTTCAAGGCTTCTTTCGTCTTGCAATGCTCTCTAAGCTCATTGAGCGCACTGTTCATACGCACCTTCTCGCTATTTTCGAAAAGACGGTCAGCCTTCTTTTCGGTCGATCCTGCGGGCGATTGAGGTGGTCTGTTCAGCTCCTTCATGCGAAGTCGGTCACAGAGAGACATATATCGGCCAGCCCAGTACGATGCGTCCTCCGCGGCATACACCTGTCTGAGGGTTAACAACGCTCAACGGCGATAAAATACTTGATCGTTCTCTCACATGTCTTGCATCAATGTCCGAAATCTGACTCGGGCTCGAGCTCGAGCTCGTGACGCTTCCAATACTGGTTGTCATTGTTGCCGAAGTTGGAATGTCGCTGTCTCGCCAGTTTTTATTCGCTAAAGTGGAATTGATGAACAAAAGCCGACCAGATGATGACGTCCTCTTCATGCTTTCGAGGCGTTGTGTATTGGCAACATCGTTCAGTGACAGCTTCAGAGTTGGTGCAGGTTCAGCTGTGCCCCTTGCTAGAGGATTTCGGTATTGACAAGCATTTCTAAGTCGAGCGCGATTGACTGCCGCTTCTCTCTGGACTTGTATCATTAAGTCCATCTCTTTCTCTGTCATCCTGCTTTCGTTCAATGCATCGGCGATATTGAGCTGACTTATATTATCGTGATGCTGTTCTGAGGAGCACAGTGAGACAGAGATAGGCTTTCTCGGAGAAGGCGTTTGGTGTGTCGGAGCAAAGCATGAGATATTGCCCAGAGTTTGTGTTCGCGGCAGAGGTGGGTCGAGGGGTTGAAGGAGGCGTCGTCTGGTGATTATCTCGCGAGGTGAAGACAGGAGGCTTCCCATCGTCTTGGACTTTGGCAGTGCAGTAGTGCTGGATACCTGCTTGAGGTGATACGGAGCGACAACAGCTTCATGACTGCTCAACGAGTGCGTGGACATGTTTCGGATATAGAGCTGTTGTCGGGTTCCGGACAGATCATGATGGGACCGTTGCTTGTACGGAAGTAAGGACTCTTTATTGGGCCGCGGTGCCTCAGCCTGGGCCATCCGGAACGAGCTAGGCGGAAGAAAGTCATTACGATGCCATGATATCCGGTGCATGTGAGGAATTCTGGGGAGACTTCTCCCTGCTGCCGAGTCCCTTCTATCTGCTCGAGCAGCTACGGGCGTTGCCTGGCGAGAAGTGCCAGATTTTGGCCGTGGGATGGCGGAGACTGAAGAGTGACGGCTGCGTGCACTGAGAGAAGCAGGATCGGGGTTAGGTGGCATTTTGAGCCGCGGCGAAATGAGAGGACAAAACGGTGAGCGTCGCACTCGCTTCACTGGGGATCGAAAGAAATGCAAGCTGGAATGATGAGGGAGTGGCTCACAGAAACTATGAGAGGAGAGAAAACAGCCACCATCAGAGTACCGACCCATGTCGGAGGCGAGGGCAGTCTCGATGCCTCGCTTGCAATACGGTCAGAAAGCTTCACGTTCTTGAGGCAAGAGCGACGTGCAAGTGAGGGTATTGAGGAAGGCTCGATCTGAGAACCAACCAAGAAGAAGTATAGTCTGCGTTGGAAAAAACAACCATGATGTTGTTGGAGCGAGAATCAAGGACTACGACGCGCACTCCTCCTATCTGCCAGACCTTCTCTCATCACCAACAATCACAACACCTCAATGCCTGGATTCTCAGCCTTGCGCAATTCGAGCAAGGCTGACCACATGCAAACCCGGATTTGGATTCCGGCCTCAAGGGGCTCAGCACCACTGTGACTTCTACATGACATCAACCAATGACATCACAACTATTCAACGAAATCCGAGTACAAAACCTCAAGGAGAATATGATCTGGTCTTCTCTAATGCAATACCATAATCACACGCGACTTGTCTTCTGGAAACCCCTCCGACAAAAGAATCACACCAAGACACCTCCTACCTAGCAGCCATGTCTGAGCAATACAAGGGGCAAGACCTCATGGACATTGCCAAACAAGCCGAACGAGATCTCGCGTCGGCCAAATCCAAGCACGGTGCGCAAGACAGTGGCTTTGGAGGCAAAACGGTCCCTGGAGGGAGCGACAGCAGTATGTATAGAAACTTTCCCACATCTGCTCCTATTGCACCGCACACTGATCAAACCCCTGTCACATATAGCAACCGAATCTGGCATCGATCAATCAGTAACCAACAAGTTTCCCGGTAGCACCGCTGAATACGGAAGCAAAGTCTCGGGTGCGGGTGACAACAGAGAGATTCCCGTCGAAGAGGGCGGTGGTATACAGAAAGGCACAGGGCGGCCGACCAAGGCTGGTGATTTTGAAAAGGGCGCCCCTGGCGAGGGCCCCGAGGATGTGAGCAGGCAATATGCGGAACAGTACGGTGGTAATGATGATGTGAGGAGTAATATCAAGAATGCAACAGCATGAACGATCTCGGGTGCATTGAGGCCGGCATGGAAGTGGAAAACATATATGGTATACAAGTTTTACATGTGATCGAGGAATAGCCTTCTGCAAGTCTCTCAAACCTGGGGATTGGACATCCCAGAAACTACCTTTCCCTTCATTCTCGTCCTTCCGATTAACCGTCAATGAATATTTATCCACAACAGCCCTTTCCAGCATTTCCCTCAGCATTGACTCCCAAACACCACGCTCACACTGACTTTAGCAGACATAGCAGACCGGCCCCACGTCGGCTTCAAATCTCACAGTGTTTGTACAGTCTGGAAGAAGGGATTGCTCATCAACTTCTCGTCACCCTTGACCATTTCTCTCATCAACCGTAACTTGTCGTCCTTGGTCATGTCCTTGCCTTCGACCTGCTCTTTCCATTTCTGTAGCGTAGCCTTCAACAGTTGGCTGGCTTCGTCCGCATCTTCCTTTGACCACTCGTTCTGCTTTTGTTCGCCGGTGGCACTCGTAAAGTCTTCCAACTCCTCGGCCTTTCGTCTCGCCATGCTGACCACCTTCTCTGGAAACCGCACAAGCTCCGCGACGTGAATGCCAAAGCTTTGGTCACTGATGCCGGGTTCAACTCTGTACAACAAGGTGACCTCCCTTCGTTTACTCGAAGCGGACTCACCCTCGCCATTGGTCATGGCGACATCTTTATCCTGATCACCCACAAATGCCACAACATGGAGATTCTTGACCGCATTCGGGAACTTGTCCGCTAAAGCGGTCAATTCATGGAAATGAGTGGCAAAGCACCCAAAGGCGCCGATCTGCCCGACTATTTCTTCACTGATGGCCCACGCGAGACCGAAGCCGTCATATGTGCTCGTGCCTCGGCCGAGCTCGTCGATAATGATCAACGAGTCTCTGGTGGCACTTTTCAGGATGTTTGCGGTTTCCAACATTTCCGCCATAAAGGTCGAGACGCCCTTGAGTTGAGAATCTGATGCTCCTACACGAGCGAGGATGCAGTCAAATATCGTCAGCTCTGCTTCTGTGCAGGGCACGAAGCTGCCGATCTGGGCCATCAGAGCAATACAACCGATCGTGCGAATGTACGTCGATTTACCGCCCATGTTTGGACCTGTGATGATGAGAAACCGGGAGCTGTCTCGCCTCAATTCGACGTCATTGGTGATGAAGTTGATGTCGTCCTGAGCTTCCATACAAGGGTGGCGCGCTTCTTTCAAGACAGTATCCCCCGTGCCCCGTCTATGCATCTTCGGCCGGACGTAGGCTGTGGGAGCATGGACGGAAGCATGGGCCAGACTGACCACCACGTCCAGGTGAGCGATAATAGCAGCAAGCTGCTCAATAACTGGAGTGTACGATGAAGCCACTTGAACAACCTCTGATACCAGTGACGACTGTTTTCGGTTGTAAGATCCGGAGAGCTGGTCGTGCTCTCTCCTCAACTCCGACAGTTCGTTCGTCGTAAAGTAGACGCCGTTCTTTTGCGTTGATATTTCCTTATAATCCTTCTTGTTCCGTATGCAACCCGCTTCGTTACGCGTAAGCCGGAAACAGTGCCCATGTACTCTGTGATTCTCCAGAAAGAGCTTCTTGTCAAGCTCTTGACTGAGATCTTTGCCCACTCGACGGTGCTCGACCTCCATGGCGTGCTGTACTTTATCGAGCTTGGCTCGAATCACCTTGAGTTGCTCATCAAATTCCGGTTTGATAATGAATTCATGGCGATCGAGGGCCTCGAGGTCCACGGTGGTCTCAACCATTTCGGCCAATTTCCCAAGAAAGCTCGATAATTCTTTCAGTTTTGAGGTATACTGTGTCTCCAGTGGTACTTGATACTGTTCGTCGACGACTGTTTCGAGCGCCTCGATGAAGCCTGGGAGCCGGATAACAACCTGATACGCCCGAACCACATCCTCTAGATTTGCATGCTTGCGCTGAAATTTCTTCGCCAGTCGATATAGGTCAGGAATTGAGCGCAGGTGTTCTTCTTGCATGGTTTGACGAAGTTCAGTGTCGGTGACAAAAGCTTCCACTAGTTGCTGCCTCTTCTCGATTTCCGCCAGATTCATCAGCGGTTGTTTGAGCCACTGTGCAAGTAGGCGGCCTCCAATCGGGGTTTTGCAGTGGTTGAGCAGCCCAAACAAGCTCATGCTTTTCGCGCCGTCTCGTGGACCCGGCATGAGGTTCAGAGCTCTGAGCGCCGCTGCATCCAGTTTCATGTACTGACCCAGGTCGTGCTGATACAGCCGGTATTGCCCAAAATTGCTGGGGTCTGTCATGACGCCCAGATACTTGATCAACGCAGCGGCACTACCCATTGCGAGCTTAAGTTCTGTCTGCGGTAGAAGTCCCATGGCATTTTCACCCTTCAGGAGTCTTGCCAGGTCTTGTTCGATATCCTTCGTTCCCCAGTCGGCTGCAGACCTCTCCGAAATGGCAATGCCACAAGAATCGGCAATCTGCTGTATCTTTGCTAGTTCGGGATCCTGTTTCTGGAGACTTCCCGCCACGATACACTCCTTCACGCCCAGCTGGATAAGAAGGCTTTCGAGATTGGAATAAAGGTCGTTGTCCAAGAATTCACTGACACCGAGTTCTCTGACGCTGGCGTCTGCAAAGCACACGCCGACACTTCGGGCCTCGCCAGCCTTTGCACTGACTCTGACAGCCAGGATGATGGGTGCGCCATCGCCCTGACTATCTATCCCCGAGCCCAGCTCTTCCTCAACTGCCTGCAGGTTTCCAGGGCTAGCTTGACGGGCCAGTTTCCACTGGCCTTTACCACTGGTCTCCCAGATCTCCACTCTCTTGCCTAGCTTGAATAGCGCTTCTCGAAGGAGGTTGCGGAAAACCGTAGTCGACATTGTGACACTGGGCAAAACATTTTCGCTTCGACCGAGGTTTCTAATAACAGCGGTTGTCTTGTAGACAGTCCGAGCGATAAATTCCGCATCTTCTCCATGCGCCGAGTACCAGTCGACTCGATCAAAGACACGAATAGTATTGTTGCCGTCCGGTTTCGCTGGGAGAGATCGAAACAAACGAATGAATCCAGTCTCGTCATCAACCTTTGTATTTGTTCTTAGCAACTTTGCATCTTGGACGGAGAAGAGACATCATACCTTGAGCTCGGGTCTGGAAGCCATGTTGTCTTTGCTGGGACTGGTGAGTGATAGCGACGTTGGCTGTTGGATTGTGAACTTCCATGGAGACTTTTTGGAAACCCACTTCACTTCAACGCGATTTACGCGTCAACACGAAAACTTGGCACTGACCGCACCGCACGCGAGTTTGGGCTTCCCCGCATGTTGCCACTGTTGCTTACCTATATTAGTGGCTGTTCCTCTGTCTTTGGGGCTCGGTGCCTGGCTAGGCGCTCTCCCTGTTAAGCCTCCGCCTAATCTCACACCCTCGTCCGCCAACAGATCATGCCCCCCAGTCAGATAACCTGTCAAGCCTGTATCTTGATCATGAGGCTGTTTCAGGGTCCCCAGAATTGGTCAAGGACCACAATCCTGTTTCTTCACCCTTATTTTGGGGTTCAAACCTCTCAAAGGTCTCAAATCAGATGTAGATCACCATCTACTCAATGCTGGTGACCCTCCTGTGCCAGCTCGGGACCGTATTTGCTAAAGCTGACTGACCACTCGTGTCCTCTCTTTCCTGCTGACACTTCCATACCCTCCTGCTACCTGTGTCCATGACCAGCCTCGTGCCTTCCTACGGCGTGCCAGAGGTCTTGTTGCTCCTTCTCTGGTCAACCAGCTGCCATGAGGTTGCCTTCTTCTTCGTCTTGGTCTTTGTCTGTTTTTTCTCCTTCGCCCATTTCAACCATTCCCCATCACAGGCCAGTTCAGCCGCTTATTTCGTATTTGGCACGTTATTGTTATCGTTCTCCTTTGTCACGAGCTTGGCTCATTCCGCAGTCACTTGGACGAAATATCCACAGGACCTTTTCCATCATGCCGAAAGGAAAGGACAAATCAATTATGGACTTCACTAGTCAAAAGGTCAACGAATCCCCTCTCGAGGCTCAATCTCGCAAAGATGCCAATTTCGAAGACATCGAGGCCAAATTACCCAAACGCTGGAGCAAGACTGAGATGAGCTTCATTGATAAAGGCACCAGTATGTCAGAATCCCAAGTATCGAGGTGAGCAGCCACTGACGCAAACTAGGCCTCTTGGGTTCGAAGAACCCCTTCGGCAAGAAAGCGGACCCCAAGGACAACATAGTATGGCTCCTGGACAATATAGCATACAGACCGATCAAGCCCGGAAAAGAGGTGACCCAGCCATGGCAGGCCGAATTCGTGGCTTGCTTCTTCCGTGAAGGTCGAAAAGACTTTACCAAATATGTTAGCTCCATTGCCGACTTGGTTGGGTTGGATGGCAAGGCTGGCGTTGACGACGCGGCCAGAAAGAGGATCGAAGAGCGCATCAAGCCCTTTGTCATGGCCATTGCTCCAGCCCGCACAATTCAGATCAAGATTCCCTGCCCAGGCCCGACAGCTATCCCTCACAAACGTGTTCTCGGACCCTCCAACCTCAATGGAATCAGCAGTCAGACCTTACTCACCGGTGGTGCCGATGATGCTGACGGAAAAACGGTGGTCTGCACAAGCGAGGGCGACATCTTCCCCAGTCTAAAATGCAACACACGATTTATCGGTCCCGAGGGTTGGGGCGTCATTTCAGATATCGATGATACAGTGAAAGTGACAATGACCCCGAGTCCCACGGGTATTCTGCAATCCACCTTTGCCGACGTTCCCAAGACGACCCCAGGAATGCCCGAGTTCTACAAGGTCCTTGATGAGTCTCTGAAATCTCCGGCTTGGTTCTATCTGTCGGCTTCTCCATATAATCTGTATCCCTTCCTCCATGACTTCCTCGATGGCAACTACCCTCCAGGGACTCTCATCCTGCGAGATGCCTCGTGGATGTATTTGGGCGGTCTCTTGCAATCTCTCACTCAAGGTGTGAAAGAATACAAGACTGATCGCATCGACAAGATCCAATCTTGGCTTCCGAACCGCAAGTTTGTCTGCATCGGTGATTCGACGCAATCGGACCCTGAGGCGTACGCTGCCATGTACGCCAAATATCCTGATTGGATCAAGGCAATCTACATCCGCAAGGTCGTTGAAGCACCTCACATGGAGACCAAGAACAAGAACGAAAGATTTATTGATGCGTTCAAGGATGTTCCTGACCAGGTGTGGAGGGTTTTTGTGGACCCGAAAGAATTAGCGGATCACTTCAAACATGTCGCCGGTGTTGCGCATGCGGGTGTGGTTGGCAACATGCTCGGTCTATAGTGCCAGACCGAGCATGCGAAACGAACCCCTTCGAGATCACGAGCGCAAACACCCCAGTCCCGCACCCCGGAGGCCAGAACACCGCTCCGCTCGCCGAGCCCAGCGCCGAAGACCTCCTAAGGCTACGAGAGTAAGAAAACTAGGCATTGCTGACCTTCAACGCAACCTACGAATGGCGCCGACTTTGGGCCGACATGGGGCGACTCGATGGTGGGGTTTACAACGATACAACGTTTTCCCTAAGAATCAAACTGGAACATACTGGATGAAGACTGCGGCGTTGCGGGATTGGTGTATTGATACTCATGGGTGAGAGGATGTGACGAATTCCCTAGAAGCCTGGTGAACCCTAGATACCTACACAAGTAACATTTCAATCAAGGAGATTCGATCGATGAATAACTGGACCACATTGCACCATCTTACCTTGGTATCGATGCGTGAACACTGCCCCGTACAACGACAATCATCGATATCACCAATCTGGAAAGTTTTATGCGCGTCCGTGGAGTATCACCGAAGGCGCCAGGTACGAACAAGCAGCTGTCCGATTCAAGATGGGACGCCTTGTTCTTGACTCCTCCAACATCATCGGCAGTTTCCGTTCCGTCGATTTCAAGGTTTTCTGGAATACGCATTCACCGGGGCCCAAGGTTACATTGCTTGACACATTCCCGGGCACAGACAGCCTCTCTGAGTTGTAAACTGCGCAGAGATAGGACCTATGGGCAGTCATGGCCGCGAGTACACCACCATCAGCACCATGGAGATAGGATATGCCGGATGCCTGAAGGCGACATTGCCGTGGTTTCATCACTCCACCCACAAGACTCAAAGAACTAGCTCGAGGCTGCGGGGCCGTTGGCTTGGGCAAAGCTTGACAATGCTTGTGTGACAGGCAAGCGACTACACATTCGGATTAGACGCTTCATTCTTTCGATGATCCCAGCCAACTCGGTTCGCCATCGAATTTGTTCATTGGGTATCATGGTTTATCCTTATCCACACCACCAGCTGGATGCATTGCTCGCACCACCGCGAGGTGAGGTAGTATTGATCGCTACTGGAGTGGCCTTGCTCGTGTGACTCGACGCCGAGGTATGCGCCCTCGCGTGGCAGCTTTTGATGTAAGTACGGCGGTCTGTCCTGTCTCCTCCTCCGTTCTCTTCCTTCTCCCTGTATGTGAGTGCACGCGCTTGTAAGAGACTACCTACCAAATTCCCAGGGTTCAATTTGGCTGGTGTCATACTGATACTGTGCTGGATTCTTCAATTCCATCGCCATGTCTTTAGCAGATGCAAAGGATGGTGGGTTGCCTGTCAACCCCAGCCGACCTGAGACCTATATCAGTCCGTCACAGCGGAAGCTTTACGATCCTGGTGTAACCTTCGAGGAATACGTACACTACGCCAACCGTACCAGGGAAGAGGAGAAAGTCCAGCAACATATTACTGATGGAGGGATCATGCAGCAAGTTTTTCGGAGGAAATCCTCAGTCACAGCGGAAGGAGTGCCAGTCAACAACGGTGCTGATACAACTGCTGAAAAGGAAAACACTGAAAAATCTGTGCTGCCTGGGACAGACGGTCACGACAGTCAAGAACCCACCCGGCCACGACGCAGAAGCATCTTGTCCAGACACAGCCTGGTCACTGAAGAGGAATGGCGAAACGCATCCCGGGCATTGAGGACCGCCAGTTGGGGAGCCGGCTTCTATCTCATCACTACAGATATCCTAGGTCCTTATGGTGTTGGATTTGCTCTAGGAACCCTCGGCTGGGGTCCGGGGGTCGCTCTCTATACGGTCTTCGCCTTCATGGCTGGGTACTCTGGCTATCTTCTGTGGCAAGTCTATCTCGGCCTCGACTCGTATGAATATCCCCTCCGCAACTACGGAGATCTGGCTTACCGCACCATGGGCACAACTGCGCGATATGTGGTGAACATTCTCCAATCGATCCAGCTACTCCTTATCACAGGTCAAGTTATCATCCAAAACGGCCAGGGTATCTCGCAGACATCCAAGTTCAGGCTCTGCTATGTCGTCTGCGTCGTCTTGTTCGTGATTGCGGGCTTCTTCATGGGCCAGGTCCGTACCCTGCGAAACTTTGGCGTCTTCTCCATGGTTGCCGTGGGCCTCAACTTGCTGGTGATATTCATCTCCATGGGTGTCATGGCTCACTCGCCACCGAATTATGCTATCAGCGTCCTTGGCTCCGCTGGCTCAGCCGTCAATCCCGCCACCATCGCGCCAGACGAGAACGGCGTCTACCCATCCATCATCCACTATGGTGGCCTCCCAGACTCGAGCAACTTCGTCGGCGCCATCAACGGCCTGATGAGCGGTGTATTCGCGTACGGCGGGGCGCAACTTTTCGTCGAAATCATGGCCGAGATGCGTCGCCCGTGGGACTTCATCAAAGCCATGTGGGCGGCACAATTTTTCATCTACGCCGTCTACCTCATCTATGGCTGCTATGTGTACCATTACCAAGGCCAGTACAGCTTTACCATCGCCTACATGGGTCTTTCTCCCTACGGATTCCAGGCGGCCTGCGACATGTTGGTCGTGATTTCAGGGTTGATCGCAGCGGGATTGTACGGCAATATTGGAATCAAGGTGCTCTATAATCAAGTTCTGCAGGAATTGTTCAATGCGCCACCCTTGACATCAAAGTCGGGGAAATATCTCTTTAGTGCGATTGTACCGGTGTACTGGTCTGTGGCCTTTATCGTCGCGGCGGCTATTCCAGTGAGTGTCCTCCCTCTGGTCAGATACAACTTTTTCTTGCACTCCCTAACCCATGAGATTAGGACTACTTTGGCTTTGTCTCCGTTATTGCAGCCTTTTGTATTGTGCAGTTCAGTTACTCGTTCCCACCCATCATCCACCTTGCCTACACCATGCAAAGGAACTCGATGACACCGGGCGACGGTTTCAATGAACAGACGGGTCAAACTGTCCGGAGCGAGCATGGTATAAAGAGGTTGATTAAGGGATTCTTCGCGGACAAATGGTACATCAATGTGTGGCACATTATTCACGCGGGCGGTGCGTTGGCGACGGCGGGATTGGGCGCGTACGCCGCCATCCAAGGCATGATTGAGGCGTTCAAGAATCCTCAGGTGAATTCTTTTACATGTACAAGTCCGCTGGATTTGTCCGCCGTTTAGGTACGAGGAGAATGAGGAGAGGATGCTGGCTTCGGTTTCTTTTCTGTGAGAGTTAAGGTGGTGAGACGCAGCAAATACAATAGCAGTGGTTGGGTATTTGAATTCCCAATGACTTGCTTGGTGTATGGGATGCCTGTTTTACCTGCGACGCGCACCTCCCGCCTTGTGTCATCTCCCGCAAACAATCTTGGTTCCTTCCTCGTCATGTCTTCCAGAGGACTCGGCCTCTTTATCGTCCACTGATCTCGCGCGTCTCACGAAGATAACAGGAGGGAAAGGCATCGTAGTCTTTACGAGGCGAGCTCAGTTTGATCAGTGCACCAAATCATGTTCAGTCAAGCGCTGGTTACGTGGGCACGGATGATCGCGCAAATTGAGCGAAGGAGGTCGCAGTGGTCTGTGTCAGCCTGGGATATCCGAGACGCGTCATCAAGAAAACAGCAAACCGGTGAATAGACAGTCAGGCAGTGCATCCGACATACAAAGCGTAATGCAATGCCATGAGACATGAGGGATAGCTCAGAGAAGAACTGGTGTGCGTTAGAGGAGGCCAAGTCAAGCTCGCCCAGAGTTTGCGGGACTGCGCAATCAAGCCTCTAGGCTGGGGCACAAGCCAAGGCCCACGTTCTACAAGAGCTGCTAAGCTTTTCTCTTGGGCACCAAATGCGTGAAGCTTTTACGGAGTAAGTAGGCGAACTGTGAAGCCCCTCCCCCTCCAAACTGCGTTCTCTTGCCAGCTGCTCGAGTTTATACACTGCGAAAGACTGTGGGCGGACTGCGCGTCCTCTCTCCACGTCGAGGCGGAGTAGTAATAATGCAGGGACGAGGGCCAGGAAGGTGAGGAGGGACTGGGGTTCGTCTAGCGCTCAGGTTCTGCTGTGTCATAGTATCGTTATTATTGGCAGAAACACGGCGTAGTAGAAGACGTTAGCCAGAGCCAATGTACCGACAGTTGTTCAATATTAAACAGTTGAGGCAGTGCTCGAGACGCAATCTCGCGAGGACACGCTTCGGCATCGGTGGAGCCCATGTTGCGCTGAAGGATGGACAATGGCCACCAAACGGGGTGGAGGTCAAGTTTTGAGACACGGTCGCTCGGCTCAAACTGGGAATCGTTTGACGCATGATCCAAAACATTTGCGTAGGTCAGTTTTTTTTAGGGGGTCAGGGATCGATCGACTGGGGCTATCTTTCTTTGTCGCCCTTTCGAACTCTCACTCTCTTGTCTTATCCAAACAATCTCGACGCACCGCAACAAGACAATCGTCGCCATTCTTTTCCATCTTACAACCATCAGAATTTTCCGAAAGAGAGCCTGTGCAGGCACAGCGTCGACTCAAAATTCCCGTCCATCGCTTGCGCCCATTTCAATCGCCTCGCCTATTCTCATTGTAGATATTTTAACGCGCGACGAATCTGGGGCACCGTTTGACCGTCATCAACCACCGTCGGTTGTCCGCCTTTACTCTCGTTATCTTCTTCCAACTCACACGCCATGAGGCTCCTGCCTCTGGCCCTTGTGCCTGGCGCACTCGCCATTTCACTCGATATCAATGATCCCAGCAGTGTGACGTCGGCTGCCTCGTCAGTGGCATTTGACATGATGACTTCCTACACTGGGAACCAAACGGGCCAAGTTCCCGGACTCTTACCTGGTGGTTTGAGCTGCGATCCCAACAACCCGGCAATCTATTGTTGGTGGGAGGCTGGCGCAATGTTTGGCTCGCTCATCCACTATTGGCAGTACACGAATGACTCCTCGTATAATCCTGTGGTGGCACAGGCGCTGCAATTCCAACGTGGACCTGACAACAACTTCAACCCACCTAACCAATCGAAGAGTATGGGTGTCGACGATCAGGTTTTCTGGGCCTTTTCCGCCATGGATGCCGTTGAAGCAAACTTTCCAGAGTCCGATGAAGAAGACGCCCCGTCGTGGTTGTCGCTGGCCCAGGCCGTCTTCAACTATCAGAAGGCTTTGTGGGACACTAATACTTGCGGTGGTGGCTTCCATTGGCAGGTGTTCCAGTTCAACGCCGGGTGGAATTTGAAGAACGCTGTATCTAACGGAGGGAATTTCCAACTCGCTGCACGACTCGCGTATGTGACGGGCAACTCAAGCTATGCCGACTGGGCGAACATGGTCTATGACTGGATGGAAACCAGTGCACTGATGCAAACGGATCCATCGAGCGGCGTTCTCTACATTTGGGACAACACCGATTCAAACAACAACTGTACGGATCAGACCAGATATGTGTGGACCTATAACTACGGCACCCTTCTCGTGGGCTCCGCATACATGTACAACTTGACGAATGGTAGTTCCGTCTGGGAGGATCGAGTCAACACCATCTTAAACAGCACCTTCACATTGTTCTTCCCCTCACAATACGGGGGCAACATCTTGTCTGAAATTCAATGTGAATCGACTCTGGTGTGCGACCAGGATCAAAAGAGCTTCAAGGCATATTTGGCGAGATGGTTGGCTGTGACCAGTCTGCTCGTGCCGTCTACAGCCCCCCAGATTATTCCGAAACTCCAGGCCAGTGCGCAGGCAGCTGCAGGACAATGCGACGGTGGTGCCAACGGTCGTGAGTGCGGCATGCAGTGGTACACGAGCACTTGGGACGGCTCGACTGGCGTTGGACAGCAGGTATGAATTGCTAAACTTGACGATCTCTTTGCTGTTACTAATGTTCCTCTCCAGATGGCTGCATTGTCCGTTATTGGCAGTGTTTTGAACTCACAAGCTCTGATGCCCAAGTCCACAAGGACGGGCGCGACCTCGAAGAGTGACCCGAACGCCGGGTCCACGGCACCAACCAATCCTGCCGCCTTGCGTGATAACATCACGACGGGCGACAAGGCTGGGGCAGGAATCCTCACCCTCCTCATGGCAGCCCTTGTCATTGGTGCAGCAGTTTGGTTAGTAACATGATATCAAGATGGTTTCTTGGGTACGGCGCCAGAACTGAGATGAGGGTCTCGGCGGGGATCTGTGCCATTCATGATCTATGTCTCTCTATCTTTTTAGAGTTTGGACACACAAATTTCACGGTCTGGGCTGCTTCCGGTGTGTTTGTATATTACTGGAAAGGGCAGGCACATAAAACATGCGTCCGATGCCATAGCATAGTTGATTCCAACATTGATGAAATTCAGGGCTTTGAAGAGCCTCTCCCAGCTGGAAGAATCGAGTAAAACCCGCTGCTTTGGGATAGTTGCTGCGTTAGGACCTCATACTCTAGGGCGGCAAGTCTGTGTTTCGAATTGGGACGACTGCGGAGACGCAGTGCGCACTTGGACAATGAAATAATTCTTCAGCAACACATATTTATTTCGGTCAAGAAACAGAGGTCGCTCAATCACCCCCGCGTGTTTTCAATCTGGAATCAAAAATCCTGTCCCGATACAAGTACCTTTGATTTGCGTCGCGGCAGCCTCGACAAGATGGGTTACGCCTTCGATAAATGCAAGGAGAGGCCTGCGCACATTGACGAGATCCTGAACGGCCTCAACCGCTATAACCCTGAGACGACGACCACGTTCCAGGAATACGTCAACCAGCAGTGCGAGGAAAAGTTCTTTGACGCATACGCAAGTCTCGCTCTGCTCAAATTGTAAGGAAACCCATGTGCTGGCAGCTAGCCACCCCCCTAAAAAAGAAAGCCCCCAGCGATTTCGCATGATGAAGAGAATTTTCATACCACGTTTCCTATTACCTGACTTGTCCCTCGGGAACTATGGAGAGTTGTATTATTAGCTCTATCTGATGCCATCTCATACTTTGGAGAGCCTCAAGTCAAACCGGTTTTGGTACTGCAGCGACCGACATGCTAACCTGGACTGTCATAGATACCAATTCAATCCTCAACTCCTCCACCCCGAGACTGCGACAAACATCCTTGTCAAAGCGCTGACCGTCTTCCCCTCACCATCTTTCTCCCTCTGTCTTGCGCTTCTCCCTCCCTCGACTATCCCCTACAGCCCTGGCAACACCTCGATCCCCACCACGGATCTCACTGAATCAATACAAAAGCTCACCCGACTAAACACCCTGCTCGAGTCCGCTCAGTACGAGGCATTCTGGTCTACGCTTGAGTCAGACGATCTTTACTCAGACCTCTACGCCGACGTCGTTGGATTTGAGGACTTGGTGAGAATACGTATCGCGGGAGAGGTGGGAAAGACGTTTCGACAAATCGACCTCAGTGTATTGAGCGGATGGCTGGATTTGAGAGGGGATGCGTTGACAAAGTTTGCCCAAACAGCCTGCGGCTGGAGGGTCACTGGGCAACAGGTAGACATTCCAGCGAACGCAGAAAACGAAGCCAAGAGTGAGACAAAGGGTGAAAGGGTCGGAGTGGATATGTTTGGCCGAGTGTTCAGGAGAGGCTATGAGGCGCCCGCTTGAGATACAGAGCGAAGGATTTATTGACGACATCCGGTCCAGGAAATCACAGAGCCTGCAGCTTTTTGGTCATCCAAATAGCTGTGGGTTATGGTGGCTTCCACAGGCTGCCCAAAGACGATGAGGCTCTGGTAGCATCCTATCCGAGGCCGCCCCCCTTGTCAAATGACGCCATGTTCGTCCAGGAGTTGACGAACGTCTCTTGAACTCAGTAACAGTCTCGATGGGCTTCTCAACTGTGGATGAAGTTCCATTTGCCTGGAGATGAAAAGGAGAATCATGATTAATGGTTGCACAATGCGGGAGTCCGTTGGGGCAATTACGAGTCCAGTGACTATAGTTGGCTCACGAAACAGAGCTGCTGTAGACTGCAATATTGCAGCAGCAATTCGAAAATACATTGATGTCGAATTCAAGGACGCTTAGAACATCGCGTGCATCGCTCGCGTGTCAAAATCAACCCCGGGGGGTTTAACCCTAGGCCCCAGGCGAGAGACTAGTGGCCTATAGGGCTAAGGTATTCGCCAGTAGAGCAGCTTTAGCTAAATTCATGGGGCCAGTTGGGCGGCGAGGCGGAAGCTGCACCCAGTGGCGGAGTGCCAGCCAGTCTGGCCAAGTGACACTCTGACACTCACTCTAGCCTGAGGCAGCGATGACATCGTTCACCCCCTTCAAAGGTCTTGGATCTGATTCACCTTGTCACCTTGTCACCTTGCTGGCCCCCTTCTTCCAACAACATGTGATCATCATCAATCACGTCCGGCATCTTACTCTTCATGTTTTCTGACTCTGGACACATCTCTTACTTCAAACGGACCATCATTCCAACATCTTGATAGTGCGAGAGCTCTGATGACGGCAAATTGACCTCCTGCATCTCCGGCCACTCCCTCGTCTTACTCTCCACCACCATGATCGCACAGACACCGACCGCCTTGCTATTACTACACCTCCCCGATGAGGTCCTGATTAACATCTTCAGCTACCTCGATTTCCGAACCCTGTGCAACGCGACTCTGGTCTCCAAGCACTTTGACGACCTGGCGGAGCCCTTCCTGTATCACACAATTGAGGTGGTCAGTGGTTGTCAAGCCTCTGCCCTGTCAGCCAGTCTACATGCAAATCCCCGCCGCATCTCATGGATTCGCTCGCTGCTCGTCTCCACTAAGTTTGGGGAAGATCATGGCCTGAGCACATTGCCAGCTTATATTTTCATGATGCGAAACCTCCAAGACCTGTGTCTCGAGACGCCCGACTGCAATGCGAAATTCCCCGAGGAGAGAGTCGGCTGGGTCAATCTGCAGGACCGGTATGAGCGCATCTTCGAGGCAGCTTCAGCAGTAATACCCAACAGTGTGGAGCGGGCCCTACCCAATCTGCGAAACTGTAGGTATTCTGGACCCGATCGTGTTCATCCTCCAGCTGATCACTATTTTAGGCACCTTACACTTCGTCGACGGTCAAAAGGAGATATATTCTATGACCAAATACGCAATGCTCTTCTTGCACCCGAATCTGCGCTCGTTGACAATGTCGTGTGCGAGCACCGACTTTCCCGACCGACTGCTGCGACAATTCCAGGGTGACCCGGCACTCGTCGGATCGACGAACCTCGAACACCTACATCTCGAAGAATGCGATATCTTCTCGCCTTCCTTGGAAATTCTGTTGAGTTTCCCTCGAGCATTGAAATCGCTCAAGATTAGTGAAGGCATCCGCTATGACGGCATGTTTACTAGGAACAGTCGCATGCACGGCAACGTATCCCCCGGGACCTTTGTGGATGCCATAGCCAAGCACTGTACCCACTCGCTTGAGCACTTGTCTTTGAGCCTGGGATACTCGAGACCATCTCATCAGCCATTCAGCCATCCCGGCCAACATCTCAATCTGTCAGCCTTCCGTGCTCTCAAGCAACTTGACCTCGATGTGCGGACAGTCAACCTGATAAGGGTACGAGCCGTGTGCGATCACGCCACGTGGCGCCGACTCCCGCCGAACCTCGAGACTCTCAAAGTGTTTGGTATTCCCTTGGGCGATCGACCACCATTTCACGCTCGGCGACGGGTTTGGTTTCCTTTCGAAACATGTATCGCGACCGACAAAGCGAAGCATGGAGTACAACTTCTCAGTAACTTGGTATATTCATATGAATATTACAGAGAAGACGACGAGCCTAGATTGACCGTGTCCGAGGATGGAGAAAGGGAGGAACAAATCAGCCAGGTTGTACTCGCACAGCGTCTGATGGTCGAAAAATGCAGAGAACTGCAACCCGTTTTCCAAAAGGCCAGTGTGAGGCTTGAAATTGAAATGGTGGCTTTACCTAACGGATTCATCCCACCATATTTATTCACAGAGGACAAGCCAAAATACTTCACACTGTGGGAGTCGGCTGCGAGATGAACAACTGAAGACGGATCAATACTACTACAGTGCTCCTTGGCTCATCAAAACCCGAGCTGGAAATTTCTTGGTTGTTGATTAAACATCAAACTTGAGGTACCAGGCCTGAACAGAAAAGATCCAGATGTCAAATCCCCGAATCCGAGACGCAGAATAGACTCCCAATCAGGCACACAGCTCACCGATGCCCTCTGACGTCGCAAACGAGCCTCGCTGACAAAGAAAATACGGATATCCAACAAGCGTGGCGGGTGTGGATGAGACCGGCGCGCCATTCGCCCGACTGGGCCACCACGGCACCACGGTTATGTAAGATCAGTAACAGAAATGCGCCTCTCCCCTAAATCGCATGTGACATATACCTATTCAAGCGGCAAGGGTTGCAGGTCTACCAATCCGCTCAGTCCGAGGAAATCTAACGACCAAAGGGCCTGTGGGGTTCTAGATGCTTTCATCATGGTGTGAGGTGACTCATCCATATCTATCGCATTTGCTCGGCTGGTTTCTTCCGCAAGGGGCGCCAACTACTACTGGATTCAGCTACTCGGTACAGCAGCCTCGTCTGGTCCTCTACCACGATTACATTTTTCTCCTTACGGCAGTAGTGGTCGGGCCGCTACAACCAACGGCGATGCCAATGCTTCGAGTCTCAGTTGCTGACAATTCGGTGTTGTATGGTGGAAATGCTTCAACCCTGGCTCGACTAATCATCCTACCCAATACAAGAGCCCTGTTGCCCTGCAGGTTCTTCAGATGTCCACTTTTCCTACGGGCGCATCATAAGCTACACAACGTCGGTCAAATATCGTTCCCTGCATGATTAAGCACAGGTATAGTATGGGGGTCTGAAACGCTAAAAGAAGGCCTGAAGTTTGTATCATCCTAATAAGAAGGGAACCTGCTGCTGGCATACTCCAATCCGTTCGTCTTCATCCCTGATTCGGCTTTTCCTTGTTGCCCAAATCAATCCTCACGATACGGAACTATCAACATGACGAAAGCAATTCTGGATGCGATCCAAGACGCACCTTTGGGGCAAGCAATCAATTGGATAACCAAAGGCAGATTCTTTGCTTTTCCAGAACAAGACCCCGGCTTCTCCATCCCATGGGAACAGGCCACTGTGAATGAAAAAGAAAAGGAGATCGAGTCTACCCCAGATGTGGATGTCAGTCGCCATACCAGCCATACCACCACTCCGCATCCTGTTTCTCGCGAACAGTCACATGCAAATCGTGAGGACATCGAAGCTCGAAACCTGAGTACTATTCCGACAGCCAACTCCGCTGCTCGAGGAGAGTTCACAGTTGTCACCACGCGGACGAGGACCAGAGAACAGACACTGCCGTATTCTCGGGAACGATTCGAAGTTGAACAAGAAGAGGCCATCGAGCGTCGACAAAGCAGCGTTATCGCCCCTCAGAGAACCGCGGACGGCATCATCCTGGTGGACTGGTACACCACTGATGATCCAGCAAACCCCCAGAATTGGGGAAGCTGGAAGAAAGTCTGGGTTTCCTTTCTCATCTTTATGTATACCTTCGCGGTGTACTCTGCCAGTGCTATCTACACCTCGGCTGAACCTCAGGTGATGGCAAAATTTGGCGTGGGACAGAGTAAAGCAAGCTTGGGACTGAGCATGTATGTCCTGGGGTATGGCTTTGGCCCGATGTAAGTTTGATCCTGCATGTCCCCTCCAACGCCGGTGTGTTGTTCACGATGCTCACATGGTTTGATTCAGGATCTTCTCTCCTCTCTCCGAGCTTCCGGCCATTGGGCGAAATATCCCCTACATCATCTCCTTTGGCCTCTTTGTGATCCTCTGCGTGCCTACCGCACTAGCAAATAGCTACGCATCTTTGCTTGTGCTGCGATTCCTGACCGGTTTCATGGGTAGCCCCTGTCTCGCTACCGGTGGCGCATCCATGGGCGACATGTACGGCCTCTTGAAACTTCCCTATGCTCTCACGGCATGGGTCGCTGCAGCATTTTGTGCGCCTGCGCTGGGGCCGCTTTTGTCGGGCTTTTCGGTTGTTGTAGAAGGCTGGCGCTGGGCATTGTGGGAAGTCCTTTGGATGTCGTCCCCAATCTTTGTCCTCATGTTTCTCTCCATGCCCGAAACCTCCGCCAACAACATCCTCTTGCGCCGCGCACAACGTCTCCGAAAACTGACGGGCAATCCGAACTTGAAGAGCCAAGGAGAGATCGACCAAGGAACCATGTCATTCTCCAAAGTCGCGATAGAGCAGATGTGGAAGCCCATTGAGATCTTCTTGAAGGATCCCGCAGTCTTCTTTACGAATGTCTACACAAGCCTGATATATGGTGAGTGCCTCCCTTATACTTTGCTGCCCATCCACCTGCAGAATGCACATTGTGACTAATATGCTCGGAACAGGGATTTACTACTCCTTCTTCGAGGCTTTCCCCCTTGTCTACGTCGGCATGTACGGCTTCAACATTGGCGAACTGGGTGTTGTCTTTGTCTGCATCGTCGTCGGCTGCGTCATCGGTACTCTCATCTATGTGTCGTATGTGTACTTCTACCTCGAACCCGACATCAAGAAGAACGGCCTTCGTGCCCAAGAACACCGTCTTGTGCCAGCTCTTTTCGCCACCACGCTCTTGCCCGCAGGAATGTTTTGGTTCGGCTGGACATCCACGCCGCATATCCACTGGATCGTGTCCATTATCGGCATCACGTTCTACGCCGTGGGCGCCTTCATACTCTTCCAGTGCATCTTCATGTACCTGCCACTCACCTACCCACAATATGCCGCCTCTCTCTTTGCAGCAAATGATCTATGCAGGTCTGCTCTGGCTGCCGGGAGCATCATCTACGCGCACCCACTGTACGTCAATCTAGGTATCGGTCGAGGCATCAGCGTGCTCGGTGGCCTGCTCTGCGGCGGTGTCATCGGCATCTGGGCGCTCTGGTACTTTGGCGCGTCTCTGCGTGCGAGATCCAAATTTGCCATGAGCTAAGCTACTTGGAAGGAGATCCTTCTCAAGGATTGATTAAGATGGCGTGAGTTGGTTTCATGGGGTCTCTGGAGCTGGGTATGTGCCCTGTCGCCCTTTTACTTCCCAACTTGAAGTGACGCAAAGTACACGGACTAGAGACATGGATGGACAACCGGGATTCCACAAAAGGAGATGGCCACCCCCTTCCTTTTCTTTCTCTTTACATTCGTTCGGCACGGACGGAGTTTCTATCGTCTCGTCACGTAATCTCAACACCCCGGCTTGCCTTTACTAGACTAGGACTTGATGATAATGATGTTGATAATGTGTATCTCACTATGCTGGTGGGGACTTGTGAGAAAGGCTCAAGCAAGAAAGCAAGCAGGGGAATGAAGAGAGGCCACTTTTAATTATACATAGTTACCACCTAAGTAATACTTGGCATAGAGGGAGGGGGAGGCTTTCAAGGAGGGCTCGGAAATGACAAATGACAAATGACAAATGACACTACCATATGAAAACACGTCGAGGTCATGAAACCAGACATGTGGCATGCGTCAATCGTGGAGGTGCAAGTTCGAGGAAAAAGGCTCCAGCAGAGGCCGATAGAACCTCCAGCTTAAATGTAAATTTAATTCATGCTGTCAATCATTAGGTAGCCACTGCTCGAAACCCGGCGATTTTCTTCGTGGTCTTGATGCTCTATTTATGCAACAGCCACCTCAACAGCCACCTCGTCTCTTTGCATGGTCCGCGCTTTCCTACTGGCCATAGCCTTCCGGCGAGCTGTCAATTCCGCGTTGCGCCCGACCCTCTCCATCCACTTGACTTCGCGAGCAAGAAAATCCCTGACCTCGTCGTCTGTCGGCCAGCCCAGCTTGCGACAGTGCTCCCGTGCTTCCCAGACATCATGGCCATCACTTGGTAAAGGACTCTCAAACCTCATGCCACCATCTCCTCCACAGGAAGAATTGGCAGGACTCAATAAGCTACCCTCGAGGAAGAGTCTGATTGCACAGAGTACATCCCGGAGCGGAGACGGGGTTAGGTGCGCTGTGTTCTGAGACTCGGATTCGGGGGCAATGTTCTCTGTCCCAAACACCATGGCATGCTCATTGACCCATCTCAAAAGCACAAGCAAGCCACGGATGTCATGAACAGACACTAGGATGCTGATCATAAGTTTGAGATCCTCCAGGTCAGGTACAACAAGGAGCGTACGTTCACACCCAGGAAGAAAGGCTGTCATGCGACCATAGATTGCTCGAGCGAACGTGGACTTTGCAAGAGAGCCGAGATTTTGTGGTGGGATGCGCATGTTCACGTCCCTCAACATCATGTTCAGCGCCTTTGTCAAATGGCGGAAGGTGTCGAGGTCAGGATGGATGTCAAGACCCTTCTCCTCTGGGGAAAGAATCCTTCTCAAGCGGCGCCACACAGCTGCTCTAGCTGCGGCACCTTTGTAGTTTGGCGGTGGTTTTCCGATGCTCACCGAAGCCCCTTCTACAAAGGCGTTCCAGACGCGAATGTCTGTGATGCCTGCAGCGAACAGCAGTTGCGACGCGTATGTCAAAGCAGGCACATCTTGATGATTTCTCTTGATCAATTGGTCCGTAGCAAAGTCCATCCTGCCAATGTCACGAAATATTAGTGAATCATTGGGTCCGCTCTTGCATATAAGCGCAATGAAGGCAGCCAAAGTGGACTTGGGGATTTTGTTCAAACTGTCCCGAATAACGGAAGCCGGGTATTTCTCTGCGTGGCGGAGCACGTCTTTTGTGACTTCATCCCATCGGCTAGCTTGAATGTACCCAAATCCAGTTTCAAGCTTCACGGAGTGGTTCAACAGGCTGGCAAGAAGATGACCAGCTGGTTTGACCCCGGCCCGCAGCATGTGCTCATAGAATTCATCCGCCGAAGGAACCTCAGTCTCAACATAAATGACCTCTCGGGGATTTTCCGAGACTTCAAACGGTTCTTTGACATCGCCTGCGAGGTATTTCCAGCCTAGCGTAGAGTCTGGCTGAATACTTGAATTGAGGAGTTTCTCCAGCATCGCAAAATATGGTTGATAGTGTGCTTGGGAAGCGGGTTTGGATTTCTCGTAGGAACAAAAGGATGCCCATGCCTCTCGCTTTGTTCTTGTGGCTCGAATGCGCGCCGCCCAAAGTTCCGGTGGGTCGCTGGATTCAATTTCTTCCTGCTTCCCAAAGCCCTGTAACAGAAGCCACGGCCGTCGTTGGCGCATCAATATGGCGCGAGTTTGAATCGTAGGGCTTCGGTCCGTATCCCACCCTGCTAGAACAGCAGCACTCCTTTCCCAGTCGCCATGAGAGTACCCTGCTGTCTTCATTCGTTGCAATAGTTTGATAACACGGCTCTCCTTCCCAGGATACTCGAGATCCTGTTCAATTCCTGACTTGATATGACGCCAAGGGGGCCAGGATAGAGACTTGGCCTCAGCCCAAGCACGTTCCTGCCCCGTTTTGGGATGCAGTAGTTGGACTGCAATCAAAGCGCGATAGCCCTCACGCGTCAGTAGCAGCTGTGGGGAGAACTCGAACATTTGACGGACGAGTGAGAGTTGCGCATTTTGCTGTGAAAGATATGCATTGTATGGTGTTTTGTAGGGAGCCAGAGATATTAATGATAAGAAGCGATTGTAGATGTGGGAAAGGCGCAACAACTCCGGACCCTCGAGTGAACGAGGATGAACACTGTAGTAGTCCGAGAAAAGGTGCCTGATGACAATACTGATATCCTCGAAGCACTCGGGTGCCACTGACCGAGCATGTCGCAGTAACCGAACAACTAGGCACACTCTTGTAACCCAGGACCAGCCAAGATACTCCTTGGCTTCCAAACAGATTTGTAAATCGGCCAAAACACTTTTTATGAATCCCTTCAGGGCAAAAGAACTGATGTTTTCCGCGCGAAGGAGTTGTAAGAACACGAACTTCGGTATCCGACCTTGTCCAGATTCGCGTACTTTTTGCGCCAGGATCAGGTACCTCGTAAAGGCAAGGTCAACGTTGTCCGATGAGAAAATCCACGCCCAAGTTGCGATATCAGTAATGTCGTAGCCGAGATTCTCCAGAGTTCTCAAAGAGTCCTGAGGAAAAGTAGTTCCTAAAGCAGACAAGAGCTTCTCGTCGTCCTGAGCGCCATGCAAAAGGGGGGCGACATTCTGAAGGTAATCGAGGAGAAGTTTGCGAAGAAAGGTTGAGCTTCTGAATGTCGTGGTAGCTTGTTCGCCCACCTTCCGGCTGCTCATTTGCCAGTGGAGGACATTGGTATAGGACAGGTCAACCCTGTTCCGTCTGGGATGAGAGGGAAGGAACAAGGATAGAATTCGATCCAGTCGTCTGCGAAGCGGTGACCAGTGTTGTGGACGATCCGTTTGAGGTTCGGACGTGCGACTGTGATCCGCCTCTATGTCTTCTGTGTCACGCTCTGCCCCCTCTTGAGGATTCTGGCGGCTGCTGGAACAGCTCCCGCCATCTTGTCTGATGTACTCGGAAAAGTCAGAGAATTCTGTAGGGAACAGCGCTTGTTGGTGAGCTAGAAAATCCGATACAACCGGCGTTGGAGTAGCAGACTTTGTGCCTTCAGCCCGACTTCCGTAATGTCGGGTTTGGAAATGATATCGGGCAGCTCTGGTGCGAAACTGTAGGTGCAGGAGAGAGAAGGCAAGAGGCCTTCCGGTCGGAAGACGAACACGTTGGACGCTGAGCATCCATTGATGCTTCAGCGGAGAAGCAATTGAGAACCTCAGGAAGAGAAGAGCTGCGCGTGATAGACGTGGATTAAGATGCCGAAGCGAGCATCATTCCTATTCAAATTCGATCAAGAGTTGAAAGGCGAGCTGTTCTCGGTACAGTGAAGATCAAAGCGAAGGCACGCAGGCGCGCCAAGCCAACGGCCAACTGCGGCTGTCAGTCGATCGCAGTCAAACTGCATCGACTTCAGATTCGGAGCGTCCGCAGCGAAAAAAAACACAGTCAGGTAGATTCATCTCGCGATCCACAACCAAGCTGCTCCTGGTGGCTTACTCCATTGCACCCGGCCGAACTCGGTTTACCATTCCTCTCGTTGCGTTCCTGTACCAGTCATCCTGCAAGTCCGCAGCGCGTGTGGACAACCCCCTCATCGCTCCCTTTTCTTCTGCCAGTGTCGAGACTATTACACCACCCAACCTGTTACAAAACAAAAAATCGCGCGTCGTTTGTACACATCAAGGCTCTGAACCATGTTAAGAGACTAATATCGCGATATACATCGAAGTTGCATGTGGTTGGGTTAGTTCACTCCGGCTCGTCGCCCGCCAACACCATCACAACGGGGCTCCTCAAATTCATCACGACGATTTCCCAGTATGGCCGAAGTCAACGGCATCGCAAAGCACGAAGATACTAGTACGGTTTCCGCATCGCACCTGGGTAAGCGGAAGCGCACGGTTTCTCCCGAAGTTGCGCCAAAAGACACTGCTCTACAATCGACCCTACAAGATGTCCTGCGAGTTCTTCGCAAGTACGTTTAGCTGTTCCACGTACGTGACAGACTACTAATACGCGGTATAGACATGACACCACTCCGTCGCTTCTCAAATACCCTTTATCTTCGTCGAAGTCCGGAGCACCTGACATTAAACGGGCCCGCCTTGTCAAGTCAGAATCCGCCAACGATACTATCGAGGATCGCATTTTGACAGGCTCATATGACTCTTTCAGCGCCCTGAAAGAAGATGTTCGAAGTGTTCAAGATGCCCTAATCACCGATATATCTACTATAACACAGAATGGCAAGGTCGAAACCGATGTCCAAGGGCAATTATCAACGTTAATAAATGTGCTCGACAAGTATGAAACTGAGTCTTCAGAAGTCGCCAAAATCAAAAGTGAAGACTTCCCGGGGGCGGACTTGATCAGTTCAAATACTAAACAGTTCCTCTCTCTGCGCAGCCAAGTCAATGGTGGTGTCCAGATTCTCTTCTCGGGCCTCCAGGTTCTCCAACAACCTGAAAACGACTGTACAGCTGTTATACCTGAGACCGAAGGCTCAAGGCTACCTAACGGATTCGAACTTACAGACTTCTCGTCATTGGGTGGAGATCAAGATGCAACGAAGAAGCAAGAAAAGAGGTCGTTCGGGACAGTCTTTCGTCCGATCGGCCGAGTCAAGCCTCTAGATCTGCCGCACACGGCAAGGGACGTGGCGAGAGGCAACAATCTGGAATTCATTCCAAACTCTAGCCGAACAGAGAATCTACCCCAGAACAAGCACGACTACAAGTTTGCGAGATTGGCTACGAGTTCATGGCTCTCATATTCTACCACAAGTACCCAACCACAACAGGATAGGAGGAAGGGACAGCCGACGTCCAGTAACAATGACTTCAAAGCAGCCCTCGAGGCCAACAGCGTGCGACAAGGTCATGACCTCACTGCAGATGAATTGTTCAGCTCTGTCTATTGCTCCTTCGCGCCAAGCTCAGACAATGCATATTCTCTTGTTTCTGCCAAAGACAAAAGTCGGCAATGGTGGCAACATCACGGCGAGCAAAAGCTGTCAAGGCTTTTCAGGACAAGGGACTCGGCAACGTCATTTGTTGATGGACAAAATGGAGGAACAGAAGACAAAGACGAGTTCGCCGAGTTGGTCGCCAACTTCAAGCCTGAAGAAGACGAGGCAGAAGACGCCCAACCTGAAGCCACAGAGAAGGATGTTGAGAAACTTATGGGAGAGGTTTCCGAAATGATTGAAACACTCAGCTCCTATCAGAGGAACCGTAGCCTTGAGACCATTGTGTCTGGCGCCGTACCGAAGCCAACACACCCGGAAATCGACACCTTTGAGATGCTGAGAGACCAACTTAACATCTTGGTCTCGTCATTGCCTCCTTTTGCCGTCGCCAAACTCAACGGCGATCAACTCGAAGAGTTGAACATCTCCACAAGACTTGTTGTCGAAGTGCCTGACTATCCGGGGACAGGACAAATAGATGACTACATGATGCGTCGACAAAAGATAGCCCATCAAACCACAACGGCAGTAAACCGTACGACGGGGACGCCTCAACAAGTTCGCCCGAACTATTCTCAAACACAGGGGACTCCGATGGCATACAACACCCAAGTTCGAAACTACAATGCTTCTGTGCCCGCCACTGCGGCTTACGGCATTCGAGCACAACAGAGTTATCAGACCCCCACAATTGCGCGACCAGCCTATCAGCAAAATGCATATCAAGCTTCGGCAACCCCTTACTCATCGTCTCGACCCACGATACAACAGTTTCAGCGACCCTCCATGCAGAATGGTTATGGAAGTTATGGCAGCAATGCGTCAGCGCCGACCCAGACGCAGCCGCAAACCCCGGGCGGGTATCGACCGACTCAGCCCGGATATCAACAACGGGCACAAGACAATGCTGCCACACTGGCGCGATCGGCCTCACCGCAGAAGCCAATAATCAATGGTGTTCCCGGGCAAGGACACCAATACCCGCGTCGACCATATCAGACTCAGCAGCAAAGTCAGCAACCACAGACACCGTACACATATCAGCAGAGGCAGGTTTCTGGGACCCCCAGCACACCGATAGCAGCTGCAGCTGCAACAACTCGGGGTCCATACGGTGGCAGATACGACGGTTCAACAGACCGGAGCAGCAATGCTCCGGGCGATAGTTCCTCTCAGACTATAGAGGTTTCTCGGTAAACAGGACAGGCGCAAAAGGTACGGGCTGGGACAAAAGAAAGGAAAGGTGCAAGGAACCTGGTTCATATCCTTGCGTCTTGTGTACTATTATCCCTGGCGGTAACAACTTCGGTTCTTCGATTCTTGGAGACATGCCTGCGTTTAATCTCGTTAAAAGAGAGGTGGTGATGAGAATGAAATGGGACTATTTATACCAGAAACGGTGGGGGAGAGAAATCGCCGATTTTAATGCAGTGGTTTGCTATACCAATAATGAATTGATCATTGAATATTGCCTTTCTTTTTTCTCCTCTCCGACGTCAACCTGACCCTTTAGTTCTCCCTTGATCTTTGAAGCACCTCTCTAGCTGTCCCCAGAAGACTACAAAACTTGGTAATCGTCCCTCCGCGATGACAGATGAGGTTGCCTATCGAGTGACGAACGCGGCGTTTTCTTTGGAGCGGCACACTGGGGTGTCCGGCGTACGCCATCAGCATCTGGGTTCCAATCGTCGAGTCGATGGATGTTGCACAAAGGTCAACAAGAGGTGGGAATGGAGGGCAGGGGGGCCTGCAGGAGCGGTTCGCGAAGACCTAGGGAAGGCGTTAAATGTTTCGAACCGGTGAGGCCACAAGTAGTCAGGCTTGAGATCTGCGAGCAAGGCATCCCCTGGCTGCGATGCAAAGGATTCGTCCATGCGAAGTTGGCGGGTTCTTTGGTTCTTGCCTCGTGGTGGTGGTAGGCCCACTAGGTCACTAGGTGGTGAACCCCTGGTGGCCCCAAAGGTGGCCGTGCCACAGGACGATGATGTCGTCCAAGGCGGGAGAATGAATCCACCCTCTACGTAGGCACGGCTGTGTCAGAGGTAATCAGGTTGTCAGGGCAAAAGTCCATGAACGCATTTCTGCCTTGTCTATTATTGCCGCACCCCACTTGAGTATATGAGAACGGCCCATTGTCCGCCCTCAACTGACTACCCGCTTGCTGCTACCCAGCATTGTCTTTCCTCAATCCAGCTCAGAACACGTCAAGCCATCCCCTTTTCGTCTCCCGTGCCTCAGCAAGCATCTGTTCCACAAGACTCGACGCAAAGACTCCCAACAGCACCTTCCCGGGTCGCACACATCCTACATACAGGCACCACAGGCACAGCCGTAACCCAATTTCGGCTGCAAATATGTGCTTCGGTGGCGGCGACAGAGATGAAGCTGTGATCATCAGACGACATGAGCGATCACGACCTCGCTACTCTCGAGAATATGTGTCAAGGCCAGAGGTTGCCACCTACAGGCGAGAAAATCGCCGAGAAACGGTCACCAGACGATCAACCTCTGCCCACCGGCCCAGCCACGACCGATATTCCGAACGCCATTCCGACTCCTCCTACGATCCACGGCGACGCAGCGGGAGCAGGACACGGATTGTCACTGAACAGAGGAGGGAGAGAGATCGCACTTATTACTGATGTGCCACCAAAAGCAGCTTGAGGTCTGTACCCGCGGGAAGATGTGTATGATATCATTACGGCAGCATCGTGAGGCTGGGCTTTTTGAAACAGTGACTGCGCAGTCAGTGCAAATATTGGACACATGGGAAATATACTTTTGACTAAGAAAATTTAATTTGGTGTCACGATGATCCCCTGCCTTTGTTGCTCCTGTTGATGATCCAGTGGGTGTCGAGATAACCGGATTGAACGACAGACTGGCGAAGCAAAGATGGCATAGCAAGGTTCGCGATACGCAGCGAGCTGCAGAGGAGGTGGGGGAACACTGAATGCTTGACATCGTACCATCCAAGTGTGCCAAGGCACCCCTCCAAGCTTCAGAGTGCAATACGTCATCTGCCCTCTTCCTGCCCTTTGGCGCATTCCTGCACTCTGCTGTATCGGGCCTCGAGGGGTTCTTGTTACACCCGCACCCAGTTTGTCTCGACGACCTTCAGTCCGTCTTCTCCAACCGATAGCGCATACTTGTAGCTCCTCCAAGCTTGCCCGCCCTACATCGCATGTTATCAACGCTCACATACCGCAGAATCTGAACCCTACAAGCAGGTACCCAATCACCTCCGCCATGAATCGAGCTCTATCCATCCGGTCCCGCAAGAAGGACGACCATGCTAAGGAGGCCTCCAAACACACATTTTCCATCTCGACCCTCCGCGGCATGCACCAGGCTGAGCTCTCCAAGAAACTCTTCAAGCTGATCAAAACCGAGAACCACTGCATCGAAGCCTATGAAACTGCCGGCCGCGAGCGCCTCTCCATTGCCTCGCAGCTTTCCGACTGGGGTGAAGCTACGAACGACGATGCCGTCTCGGACATTTCGGACAAGATTGGAGTCATTATGTCGGAAATAGGAGAGCAGGAGGATTTGTTTGCTCAGAATCTCGAGGACTACCGATCTATCCTGAAGCAGATCAGAAACATCGAGGCCAGTGTGCAGCCAAGTCGGGACCAGAAGGTCAAGATTAGCGATGAAATCCAAAAACTCAAGTACAAGGAACCGTCTAGCCCGAAGCTGGTCACGCTCGAGCAAGAACTCGTGCGAGCAGAAGCTCAGAACCTGGTCGCAGAGGCTCAACTTACCAATATCGTAAGAAACCCCAAGCTCATGAAGACCACTCCAGCGAGTCGCAGTCTTTGCTAATATATCCAATACAGACCCGCCAAAAGGTCAAGGAAGCATATGATCTACATTTCGCGGCCACGATCGAGCGAGCAGAGAAACAGATCATCCTGGCCAAGTACGGCCGACGCCTCTTGAATCTGCTAGACGACACCCCAGTGGTGCCGGGAGATGTGCGCCAGCCCTTTGCCCAAGTCGGCGAGGCGAGACAGGTTCTTGCGGATGCAGAGCAAGAGCTGCAAAGATGGGAGCCTCATCTTGAACCAATTCACTCCAACGCCGGAGGTTTAGGAACGAATCTGATGCCTATGGACGACCGCAGCACCCGAGCCACATCGGAGGTTCCTGATCCAGTCGCAGATCCTGTGCCGACGGAGAAGCCGGCGGCAGAGGCCCAGGGAACGCATTTGGAGCAAGCAACCGCTTAGAAAGTGGAGAGGTGGAGCGAGGAGCAGAGGAAGGAGAGGGAAAAGTTGGGCATCAGGAAATAGCAGGGAATGGGATTGATGCAATGTGCCTTTTTTTGTTCTGCTTTTCGAGGTTCTCCTTTTTGATCGCATGCATGATGTTTCATGATGTTGTCGTTTTTGGCAGTCAACCCGGTTTGTTGGAGCAGCTCTAGAAATGAGGTGGAGGTGAACAGTTCTGTTTTTGGTAGCAACTCCAGAATTTCGACGGCCCTGATGTCCCTTGTTGTATTTCACGTCCGGGTGTGCATGTGTTTGGCATGAGTACCCCGGAGTATCTTTCCCCATTGATGCAGTATCACCGGAAGAAGGATCAGCCTTGTCACTCTGCACCACCCTCGTCACCATCGTCTAAAGGCTGATTGACGTTGACGATACTTGTAGGGGTGCAAGCCCGTAAAGCAGAAGAGGGCGATCCTGCTCGGCGGCGCCGCAGGAAGATGGGAATGCAACGCGGAGGGGTGGCCGGCCTAACCATTGGAGGGAAATAGCCAGGAAGCCCATAAGCGACGCAGTGGACCTTGTCGGGGCGCCTGTAACTAGGCTCTCAGGCCTCACTAGCCCGCCCAACCGCCTAACCGAGGCTCGCTTCGATCTTTCGTGTCGCCCAAGTAGTGCTGACATTGACTTGTCGTGATTTGCGCTGACTGATAGGACAACTTTCCCACCAAGAATTGTGCCCTCTTCACAAATGCTCACGTTGTTTCAGAGTTCCCAAGGGGAGCCCCTCCGGTCGCGGGCGGAGCGAGCGAGAAACTGTCATCTAGTGGTTGTTTGGTACCATTCTCACTTCTGACTGTCGCGCTGGGGCTGATGATTCACGGACACAGGACGGGACTTCCACCAGTCGAGATGCTGAGTTGAGATCTCGGCTGTTGAAAGGATCCTTCCCCTCGACGGAACCCTGAAGCACTCTATCAAGATATAAAGATTTGCCTGCTACCAAGTGGACTGGTGACTACCTCATCTATGGTCAACTTCCGGCCAATGTTGACCAATGTCACCTCGACTCGCAGACCTCTGATCCATCCCTGAATCGGCTCTTTGCCACCGCATCTCGAAACCTCGTTAACCTTTCCTCTTTGGCGCTTCTCAGACAAACTCCGCCTCGCACTTCGTTTATTTTGATCACCACCCTCTCTGTTCCTTTGGAGGAGTGGTCCTTATATTTCCTCTGCCTGCCCAGAAATATCATCTCAAAGCTCGGTCGATCCTCGTCCAGCAGACACGCCTGGTGACAAGATGTGGCCGATGCTTGGCCTTGGGTTGGCTGCTTACCTTCTGTACAGCGTGGTCAACTCATTGATCCGCTTCCGCCGCAACGTGAACAAGGCGAAACAATCCGGCATCCCGTATGTCGTTGTTCCGGTATACTATCTCAGCACCTGGTGGCTCATCAGCCACCCATTATGGCTGCCATTTCTTGCCAGGCTCCCCAGCAGCTGGACCAAATGGGTCGACTTCTGTGTCCCAGATTTCTGTTACCGGCGCAGTATCGAGGTCTTCCAGCAGGTCGGTTCTGATACCTTTCTTGTAGTCGGACCTGGAGGTATCATGATGCACACTGCCGATCCCGCCGTTATCAGCCAGATCACTACCAGGAGGAATGATTTCCCCAAGCCCACACCTATTTACCGGTCCCTCGACATCTACGGTAAAAATGTCGTGTCAACCGAGGGCGCGGTCTGGCGACAGCACCGCAAAGCCACCAGCCCGCCCTTTACGGAGAAGAACAACCACCTCGTCTGGGCGGAGAGCATCGACCAAGCTTCAGACATGCTGGCTTCGTGGGTTGGACCAGAAGGAAAAGGCGACATCACGGTCGATCGGGTCATGGATGATACCATGCGCCTTAGTCTCTATGTTATTAGCAGAGCTGGTTTTGGGAGGAAATTGGAATGGCCTTCTGCCGATGCCGAGGCCGATGTCGATGTGAACTATGTTGACAAGTCCAAGATCCAGAATGACCAGGGTGATCGAGATCGTGGGCATTCGATGAGTTACACCTATGCCATCCACTGCTTGCTGGACAATATTCTGGTGCAGTTTCTCCTGCCTCGGTGGCTGATCAAGAGCATCCCGTCGACGTCGTTCCGGAAGGCCAACGAGGCCTATTATGAATGGGGAAATTATATGAAAGAAGCGGTAGAATCCAAAAAGAAGACACTGGAAGCAGGAAATGAGAACAGCAAGGACCAAATGGATCTGTTGGCTCAGCTGGTCAAAGGTCAACTGACAAGCGAGAAGAGCAAAGATGTTTCCCTCACGGATTCCGAAGTGCTTGGAAACATGTTTGTCTTGATCCTTGCAGGACATGAAACTGCCGCCAATTCTATCCACTTCTCCCTGCTCTACCTAGCACTCTATCCGAAGAGCCAGCGGGCCACCCAAAAGGATCTGGATCGGATATTCCAGGGAAGGCCTCCCTCTAAGTGGGATTATGATCGTGACTTGCCTGCTCTTTTTGGCGGTATGGTTGGTGCGGTATTGGCAGAAGAGCTGCGGCTGGTTCCGCCTGTTATAGGAATACCAAAGTCGACCTGGGGGGTTCCTGATCAATCGATCACGATTGATGGAAAGACATGCACGGTCCCCAGTGGAGTCTATATCAGCCTAGCGACAGGCAATGTTCATCGGAACCCCAAGTATTGGCCCACCAGCAAACCCTCTTTGCCCGGTGGGAAGGTCGTGCATCCCGCGGCGAACCTCGACAATGACCTTGAGGAATTCCATCCGGAGCGGTGGCTCTTGGACGAAAGTAGCGAGGTGGAACAGGTGCCGGCCAATGATAAGAAGGAAATGCCTAATGAGACCATTACTGCAGATGGCTTGGGTATCAACGAGGCAGCGGACACTTCGGAACGGTTTTACCGGCCACCCAGAGGGGCATATCTACCATTCAGTGACGGGTATCGCGCTTGTCTCGGAAGACGCTTTGCTCAAGTCGAGGTATTGGCCACCCTGGCAGTCATTCTACAGAATTACTCGGTCGAACTAGCCGTCGACCAGTGGGCAACAGACGACGAGGTCATAGCCATGGACGAGAATGCTCGCGTGGAGGTCTGGCAAAAAGCTGCCCAGCGAGCGAGAGACTTGATGCTCAACGGCCTCAGCGTCATCATTTCTCTACAGATGAGAGCTGGACACGTCCCTCTACGATTTGTGCCGCGAGGGAAGGAGAGGTTTCCTGATGATGTGGATGACAAGTGGAAGAGCAAGCATCCTGATTTATGCGAGGGAGCGCGGGCGACTCCTGGCTGGAGATTCTGGGCTTCCTGATTCGTGTCTCGCCTGCTGAGAGATGCATTGGTGGATTGTCTCTAGCTTTCTGTCTAGTGAGCGTGTGCTTAGTGGGATTCGGTCTCTGTGAGAAGGCTCAGAGATAGTTATGGATATGTGCCATTTGGGTCGCAAGACATGGTGGTGGTGCCCGAGACAATCCCCCACTTTGGCGAATATAACAAGTCGACCTCCATCTACTGTTATTATGTTGAACAAGTCAGAGTTGGGGCATGTAGCCTGTTATATGTACCACCCCATGGATCTACATCCGCTACCCCGGTGCTGACTTTTAATCTTTTCTTCTTTTACCCTTTTTTTCACCGCCTGACTTCTAATAATGACAGCAGAATCAATCGGTACCAGGCATTAGGGCCGGCGGCGGGCTCAAGCACCCTGCATGTGCCTGCCTAAGCGGCTTCGCTGGCTCAATCAGCGTCGCCGGAATTCTCACTTCAGACTGCGCTGAGCCACTTTGACTTCACCTTTCAATTTCTCTGGCTCGTTATTCGACTGCTAGCCATCGACAATGATGTCCTAGTCTTTTATTTTTGATCGTTCCATCTGGTGCCACTTCCTTTTCCAACAGGCTGCCGACAGATCTAGGTGCTCGTTAGGTCTTTGTTCGGCTGGAGAAGATACTGGTACAGAAAGAGAGGGAGCCACGGGGGCGATTGAAACATCCCACGCATTCTTCTTTGCACCGCAGGCGGCCAATTGCATCTCGCAGCATCATGAGACGTCGGTCTATTGGATCAATCATCATCTCACTGGAATCTTCTGCCTCATCCGATATCCCCCTCGTCCACTAGCCAACAGTCTTTGCAGACCGAGCGGCGCCGTCGTGCATACCTCGATTTTTCCCCGATGCGTGGTCTCCCCTGGATCCTGTCGCTGGTGAGCAGCGGTGGCAATCGAGCCCACAGACAGCATGCTGTTCGTTGGCATCTACCCGCTCAAGCCAGGCGTTGGGCACGAATATCTTGATCTCCGATTTACATTCGCCCAGATAAAACCCGGCGAACCTCTTTGACAGGCTCCCTTGTCCTCCCACATTTCCCCTTCCCCCTCTCTCAGGCGTCAACGAACCCCTTCTTCGCCCGACCTCGCCGTCCCCGTTATACCTTGGAGTCTTCTTCGTGTCACTCTGGAGAAGGACGTCATCCTGGCGCGCAGAACTCATCTCCTTCAACTTGGTCAGAGCGGTGGTGTTACATGTTTGTACCCCTCCCTTCGAACCTGTCACCTCACTCCTGGTTCGTCCTGCTTGCATCAAGGAATGACCATGATACACTGATGATAGCCGTTGCCACCACCACCTCTACTCCTACTACCTCCAGCACCACTCTCCGTCTTGCTTTCATGACATTGCCTTTCGTTCATACACCCTTCCCCTTGTTGTCAAATGATGGAGCTCTTCGCCACAGATTCTCCGCTCTCTGTCACTGCTGGATGCAATCGACCCTCGCTATCGCCACTACCTTCATGAAACCCGGTCCTCCCATGAAAGGCCCCTGTGAGCCAAGCTCTATCTCTTCAATCCTGCATGTCCGGCCCGGTGCGCGATCAAGGTCGTCGGCGTCGCAGCCAGACCTATGCCGGCCACAAGAGTGCTCGCTCATCCAAGCTGTCCCTCCTAACTGCCATCACCTCCGGATCCCATGGGTCGACTGGTAGCTCATCTACCGTCACGCAAGAATCCTACTCCAAGTCCACCTCAAGTTCGAGTAAACGAAGTAGATCCTCCCGGCCAAAGAGGTCAAGCGATGAGCGGAGGAGAAAGGCCTCGCCGGTGGAAACCGACCCAAAGGATGCCGCCGCAGAGAAAAACATGTCCAGAGAATCCGTAGACGTCTTTGCCTTTCTCGTCAAGGACGACGACCAAGGCGCCGCCGACTCCGATGCTGCCGACTCCAATGCCGCCGAAGAGGAGCCTCATGCTGAGAAGGACGACTGTGATAGTGAGAGCATCAAGGACGACTCTGATAGTGAGAGCATCGTTCCGAGTATGCATTCCGACTCGGGTATATCAATGGGTGATAGCATTGTCCATTCCAACAATGACCCTTTCGTCGACACCCACTTACCTCCTTTACTCGAGGATGTCCGGGAACAAGAAGACACTCATAAACCACGGGAGATCGGGGGCGATCGCTCGCAACGGCTACGATGGAAATATCCAGAGGTTCCCCAGGCCACCCACAAGCCTCCGACCCCGACACTGATTGACAGGACACCGAGCCCTGTGCAGATTCGTGCACGCATGCCACAAACGCCCGACGGATACGACAAAGAGTATTGCTTGCCCCGAAATGTTTTATCTGGATATGATCTCATTGCTGTTAAACTGGCGTCGGGGGAGCTTCCGCCAGTGTTTCGCAACTTTAAGAAGATCTATTTTCGACTGCTTCTACAATTACAAGACGAAATCATCGAGATGGAAGAACAATTGGCTGCCCTGGACTCCGTCGACGGTCGCAGCCGACTCCATCCTGACGGCACCATGTCGCCAGCCTCAAGAAGATTGAGCTGGCAATGGGGTCAATCAGATGTACCAGCACATCGATTACATGTCTTGGGACGACTGTCAATGAAGCTTGAACAATACTGTACGTCATGGAATCTCACAACGAAGGATGGTACGCTGACTGGTGCTAGATCAGGTTCTTTCAGCGTCACAGCGAGTCCGCGTACTCTCCTCATCCCCAACAGCAACCGAGATTACGCAGTTCCAGACATGGCTGCACGAGCACAGCCCGCTCTCGCTCTCAGAGTCCAAGTTTTTGGACAACAGTGAGGATTTAATATCATTAAAAGAGACCACTCTATCCACCCCAACGCATTCCACCGGACCAGCATTAGAATACGTCCCCATCTGCATTCTTACGATGACGCTTCTGCCACTACTATGTTTCAAGTTCATCACCGGAGTTCTGAATCGACTGATCTTGCTGACTATTGTACTGGCGGCTGGGTACAGCAACCTAGAGAAACTTGACAGATCAAAGGTCGAACAACATCGACAATGGGTGATTGCATGTTTCGGTGTTTCGTTTCTGGCAGCACTCTTCTTTTAGAAAGAAATATCATGTAGTTGAGCGGCGACGCTCCTTGACTTGAGAAGAAGGATAGACGACACGAACCAATGTACCTCACTACATAGTCGAATCAATGTAGGTTAGAACAGAAGAATTGCCAGATCAACAAATAAGAGTGGTGTTGACATGACTGCGCAGCGCAGCTACACAGCCTCGTCGAAAGTGCGGGGCGCAGCCTTGCCCAACTAGTGAAACCTGCGTTGATTTCCGGGGAATGTTTACACAAGGTGATCTTGAGCCGCTTCGTTGCCCCTACTCGGACCACCTCCCAGCATCCCTCCATCCTTTTCCTTTCCTGCCCCTAATGTTCTCATTCCGTGCATCACGAATGACCTCGATTCTTACTCCTATGTTGCAGTAATCATCTGCACACAAGTCCGAAACCCCACCCTCCCTCATCTGCCTGTTCGAATAGTCTGTCATGTGCCTGCGCAAAAGCGTTTGCACTGACAGTTGCGGGCAAAAACACGCCGAGATGAATCATGTCTTAACCTCTGTCCACTGACTTAGAAACTTCCTTTCGTCTCCTACCTCAAAACACGCGCTCCTTCAGCGGCCACCCTGTCGTCCATGGTAGTCCACGATGACTTCTAACTTCATCTCTCGATTTACGGGCGCCAACAACCCTTCTGCGTCCATCTATGACGCCATCCGGCAAGAAGATGAAGACTCGGACAATTTCGATGTCGAGGAGACCGCAGGGCTGACTGCAGATAGAGTGAATGGTAGAGATGGCTACAACAATCAAGAATTACACCAGTCCGCCCTTCGGTCACATTGGAGAAGCCCAAGTCATGATGGTCGTGGTGCTCCTCTTACTGGCGCCACCTCCCCCGAATCTCACGTGCAGCGGAAAGATACACGCAGGAACCAGAACAAGACAAGACGGACTCCAAGAGTTCACAAACTTTTGGATGTGGAAGAGGCGGATGATGATGTTCCGGCGTCGTTGCTGATCGATCCCAACCCAATTGGTCTTGATCATGGGTCCATGTCCCTGCCCCCTCCTCCAAGCCTGATGCCAGAAGGCCTTTTACAAGGTCGCGATGCCAGTCCTTCGACCGCTGCTCAAGACTTCCACACGAGGTACCGTCCCAAGCCCAACAAACGCAGCCTGAAGGCCGCTCAAGTCAGGCCTGCTGGAGGGATCGTTGGCGGCAATCTCGCCAGTGCAGATCCCAAGGAGAAAGCCATGTTTCGATGGGTCAACGTGACAGATTTGGATAACTTCCTGCTCGAGGTCTACACTTATTACCTGAATCACGGCTTCTGGTCCACGATTCTCATGCGATTCTTCAATCTCCTTACCGTCGCCTTTGTGGTTGGCTTCTCTATTTTTCTCACCCAATGTATTAACTATCGAGACATTAGAGGGAGCACGACGATGTCAGATATCCTCGTATCGCAATGTACCAGAAGAATGGGATTTGTTCCCAATGCTTTACTCTGGCTCACCACTTTTATATGGCTCTGGAAAGGGGTCCTATACCTGTTCGATATCCCTCGCCTGAAAAATATGCATGATTTCTACTTTTACCTCCTCGACATCCCTGAACCGGAGATCCAGTCGATATCGTGGCAAGAAGTTGTGAGTCGCCTGATGGCTCTGCGAGACTCGAACCCCACCATTTCTTCGACATCCAAAAAGAGCAGTGGCTATATCAAATCGCAGAACAAACAACGAATGGACGCGCACGACATTGCCAACAGACTGATGAGAAGACAGAATTACATGATTGCCATGATCAACAAGGATATACTGGATCTGACTCTCCCCATCCCCTTCTTCGGCAATCGCAAGCTCTTTACTCGGACACTGGAATGGAACATTGAACTGTGTATCATGGACTTTGTGTTCAATCGCAAAGGACAAGTTCGACCTCTGTTCCTGAAGGATACGCACCGCAAAGACTTGGCGAACGCACTCCGTTCACGCTTCATCTTGGCTGGTTTTACGAGTCTCGCCTTTGCACCATTTCTTGCCACGTTCTTCGTCCTGAAGCACTTTTTTCAAAATTTCAACGACTACCAGAAGAACCCCGCCCAGATTGGCATGAGAGAATATACACCCTTTGCACAGTGGAAGTTCCGAGAATTCAACGAGCTACACCACCTGTTCCGTCGGCGTATCAACATGTCGTATCCCTTTGCCGACAGATATATCAATCAGTTCCCCAAAGACAAGACGGTTCAGATTGCCAGGTTCGTCAGTTTGATTTCTGGAGCTGTGGTATCCGTTCTTGGCCTCGCGACGATTTTGGATCAAGACAACTTTTTGAACTTTGAGGTGACGCCAGGCCGGACTACAATATTCTACATCGGCATTTTCGGGTCGATCTGGGCTGTTGCGCGCGGTCTGCTACCGGACGACAACATGGTCTACGACACGGCATTTTCCATCGGAGAGGTGATACAGTTTACACATTATGAACCGCAGCACTGGGCAGGTCGTCTTCATACTGTGGAAGTAAAAGAAGAGTTTTCTCAGCTGTACCAGATGAAACTCGTCATCTTCCTGGAAGAAGTGCTCAGTATTTTCTTCACGCCCTTTGTGCTGTGGTTGAGTCTACCCAAATGCAGCGAACGGATCATTGACTTCTTTCGGGAATTCACGGTGCATGTTGACGGTATAGGATACGTCTGCACGTTCGCCGAATTCCGCTTCATGAACCAAGCGATGCGGCCTGCTCCCAAGGAACGATCGGGGGGGTCGGAGGCCGGGACAGGAGGTGCTGCCACGGGTGTTGCTAATACCAATGCCAACACGAACCTACGGGACGACTATTTTGCGTCCAAAGACAATAAGCTCGAACACAGCTATTGGGGGTTCATGAACGACTACGCGCGTAATCCGAAGACAGATGTCCATTTTCCGTATCACACATCCAGGCGGCGTTTCAACTTCAATATGCCACCACCTATACCGGGACTACCTTCACCGTCCTTCCCAGCGTCGGATCACGGAAATACGTTTGGTGGCGGTATGCATGCGCATCGACACAGCGGCGGAGGTCTGGGATCGATCACATCGCCTCATCGTGGAGCGTTGGGTACTCCCAGATTTGGCGCTCAGCATACCGCCACGGGACAGGGCCACGGTCAGTCCCAGCCATTTGGCTCTCCCCTTCAATCGCTATTGCTCGACCCACATCATCAGCCCTCTGCAAGTGGTTTCGCTTTGTCTCAACAAGCTCTTCGGCCACGTGGCTCTCTTCTTTCGAAGCCTCGGCGGACTGGCGCGGTTGAGCGCGGGCATGAGATTCCTGACGATGTCGCCGAGGAAGAAGACTCTCCTGAGCTTCAGCCGCAAAGAACAGACACATTTCAAGCGGACGCGAGAGGGCCTCAAGATCACCCCCCGTCTGCAGCCGGGGGCGTCACGACTCAGGCCACTTATGAGGGCGATCTAGGATCCTGGAAATATGAGGTTGACTCTTCGTCTGGGGCGGGTAGTGAAGACGAAGAGGATGAGCGGGATGCACGGGCGATCATGCAACCCATGGGGCCACTAGGATTGATCAGGCAGTTTCAGAAAGCCCAAGCTCAGGAAGGGGGAAGGGCAAGGGGTACTACGGCAGGCCTTTGAAATGTGAAGGTTGGGGCCACTTGGGAGTAGACGAGTGAGGAGTAGGAACCATGATCAGGGGAGACGGCGACGGGGAGAACAGGAGCAGAACAGGGTCTCAGGTCTCAGGCGCGACCAGGGCTGATTTCGCGATCAAATTGGGATCTCCCATGATGGCAAAGAAGTCAATCTCCCTCCTTTGGCAACAGGTCTTGTGCTTTGGTGCCAGATTACATCTCAAATGATATTGCCGACGCATTGGTGTTACAATGAGTTGTATCAATATCAGAATCCTGCAGGGGGATCTCCTGGTATTGGGATTGTCTCGGGTTGGAATCCAGCAGCCGAGAGTCGGGACTGGCACCAGGAAAGGCTCTTGAAGGGAGCATGCCAGCCAGCATTTGGTATATGCATCAGCAGGAGTTGGAGGGTAGGAAGGTCACGGGCGGGGATACTGCAAGTCCTCCTCACTCAGTAAGGAGTCAAACAGTCCAGATGAAAGAAAAAGACAAGATTTCAACTGTGAATTTTTGGTCACGCTGATGCGTCCACTGTTGAACTTTTGGGGGGGGGAAGACCTTTAACTGTCTGCGCGTGCATTCAGTATACATTGTGTGGTATACATGAGACCTTGACATGAGGGTGGTAGCTCTCTCCCTCCCTCTTCCCCCCATCAGGTCCCCTCGTCCTCTTTGGTTGTCTTGTCTCTTTTCCTTTCCCTTTCATCTCATGGAATCCTTCCCTGTGGAGACAATACCTACATCGCCCCGTCCTGTCCCGTCCTGTCAGCCCTGTCGTGTCCCGTCCCGAGTAACTAAGCATAGACCGGGTGCGGCGCGTCATCATCCAGACCTGGACCCAGCAGACCCAAGAGAGAGTGGACGCAACTCGTAGATCCCTTACGTGCGAGTACTTTGGTTGAGCTGTGGGGTATCTAGCGAGTAGGTATTTGGCATTACTCCGTAGATAGGTACATAGGTAGGTATCAGTAAGCATGGACCGAGTATAGCATTTCGCAGTACGAAGCTGGAGTTGAGGCTGGAGATTGAGATTGAGCTGGACAGGGAGATGGAGATGGAGATGGATTAAAGGGGAATTAACCGTATTTTGTCTCTTTGTACCATTCCCACCCTATTCTATCCTGGGGGTCTGCCCCCAACGTGCATCGAGTACCTCGCTACCTACCTATCTACGAGAATACGAAGTACGGAGTGAACCGAGTGGATGATATTAACAGTGAATGATCCAGATACAGGTCCAGACCCAGACCCAGACCCACTGCTCGTTCGGGTCATTGAGGTATGTGTACCGAGTACGATACAGTATCTCCTGCACGTACTTTCGTATGGTTGTTCACTCTCAAAGCTCCCAGAGCGGGAGTGGGGGCCATGTACTGTCCCCTGGAGACATGTGAGATGCAAGTAGAGGGAGGAAGGAAGATATGTTCTGGCCGGCTGGCGCAGCGCGAGTTTAGCGCTGCATCAGATGGCATTCGGGAGTACCGAGTTCCAAATACCTTCCAACAAAGACAAGCCTACCTACAGACAGATGTGGATAGATCGACGGATCTATTACCTGCATCCTCTCGTATAAGTGCCAATGTACCGAGTACATACATGTTAGTACCATGGTATGGTACCTCTAATATGTAGAGGGACCTCGCACGTCTCCGCTTCACACATACATCCAACATCTCACTCGCGTCACACATCATCGTACGAGGGTGCAAGGAACAGTTACATATCTACAGTGCATGTAATTTCATGTACAGGTACATATACTCCACACGAGGTTTTAAGGGCTTACTCGGTCGGTCGGTTCGGTACAGGTACAGGTACCTGGGTACCTACCTGCCTATCTGGTGTTGAACCACCTACCCGTCTGGGTAATTAGATGGGGGATGGTGTTATTATGACCAGCAAACTTGGCCTCCGCAGAAGTTAGGATCCGAGTATAATACCCATAACGCATGGCCCACGGGCCAACAGTGCCAGCAGTGGGCTTGGGGGGGCCGACACTACACTTTGCTTCGCTTGTCTTCTTACTCATACTCGAACCACTAGACCCAACAAACAGCCCCTCTCTTTTGTACTTTGTTACTCTGTCCTAGCCTTTCGCGTCCGTCGCGGAACCGAATCTAAGCGTGAAAACCCAATTGTCGGCCACAAACAGTACTCGGTACTCCATAGGTACTCCGTACCTTGGGTAAGATGGCCCGATCGCTAGCTAGCGAGCGAGCTACTGTGCCTACCTAGCTGTGTAGATAGATGATACCTTAGGCATGTATGAGGCATACCTCCGTAGGGCTAGGGCTATCTAAGATGGATGTGTTGTGGGAAGGATTCGCGCGGGGGCGGCAGGATTTCCGATTACTCGGAGAGAGAGCCAGTCAAAAAGGTCCGTGGGGTGGACTGCATCGGGGTTAAGCTGATATGTAGTGGCTGGATGGGTCGAAGAAAGGAAGAAATGAGACGGGGAGGACGACGAGGACGAGGACGAGGGCGACATTGCAAGGTATGAGAGAGTTTGTCCTTCTCTCGCATTCATGTACGTGGGGGATCAGCTATTCGTACTCGTGTCGCTGCGCTGGCCTCTGCATATTCGTATACGAGCAGAGAAATATGTGCAGGTAACTTCTCACCGAGGAACGAAAAATGCTACCAAATAACTGAGTGGTCGTATAGCGGTAGGAGCTCTAGCAAGAATGTGACAGACGACGGCAACAATGTTGAGGCTAAACGCACCGCAGACAAAGGAAAAACCCCTCCATGACAAAGCCACATCCCGTGATTGTTGCCCCGGCGGACCAACATTGACCCATCATCCATCCATCCTTTCGGGCTTTACTCTCTTCTCTTGATCAACTGCCGCCTCGTCGTGGCAAGCCCAATGGAATCCTTTGACAAAGTACGGGTAAGCAGCTGAATGTCCAATTTCCAGCCATCAACCAAGCACACAGATGCGCTGTGACGGCGAGAAGCCGTGCCATTCATGGCGTTGTAAGGCCACACTCATCTTTGCTGTTCGTGATCTTGTCGAATGATTTCGAGTCGTGGGTTGATCATTGAGCGGCAACATTCCTCCTTGCTCACGGCTATGGCAATATCCACGACATGTGACGGGGGCGCAGCCTTTCTCCCAGGCCAGCGATGGAAGAGAAAACGACCAGAATCGTGTCCAAGTCTCTCATTTCTTCGTCCACAGCGTGCCCATTCCTTTCCACTCTCCCTCCGATATTTCATCTTTCCAGGATTCGACGAGGCTGCTTGATAGGCTGCGTGCAGTAAAGGTCAAACAGTACGTGAGAAAACCAACACAGAGCAGAGAGTAAAGATGACAAGACAGTTTCGTCGAGAGAGAATTGACGTCAGAGCAATGAAGGACCGAGTATGCCTGCAAAGCGCAAGAAGGAGCACCCTCCTTCCCCATTCCCTCAATGGCGATCGCCATCGTCTGGGGACAAGTTGCGTTGTCAGCTAACCCCCGGACAACGCTGCAACCTCGTCGTTGGATGCGCGGGTGAGCTGGCCAAGGGGAGTCAGGCCCTCGATATGGGCCACCATCGTTGATTTTGTAACCAGAAAGGTGTGTTCGGTGAAACCCATCAGGGTGGCTTCAAGGTACGTCCGTCGACTGTGGTATTGCCAGACGAGATGTAGAGACACATTCCCGTTTCGTTGCCTGTCAGCCATCAGCGACGTAGGCTACCATGTCTAGAACTGCTTCAGGCTTCCAACCTCTCTCAATGGTATTGATGTCTCCAGTGAGGCGAGACTTGTTGACTGCATTGCGAAGCGCATGGTCTGTCTGGAATTGACTCCAGGCACACGAGCCTCTCTCCACACCCCCTGAATGATATGCATGCATGGGCTCATATTTCGTGGCAAAACAGAAACAGAAAGAAACTCCAGCCCGGTGGCCCTACCTATTCACCGGGATCGGGGCCGTTTGATGGCCGATCGGCCACCCATGTAGTTCGAAATGGGTTGTTCCAGATTGTTTGCTTTGCTTGTTTGCTTTCTTTCCCACCACTTGCGACTTGGCGGAGGGTCCATCCATCCTTGTCACCTACTCAAAACTGAATGGCAGTGCTCTGCTCTTGCTCCATCCTCGAGGATCGCATGTGGCCAACTGACAGTTGTAAGCTTGCGCGTGGTCTTGAGCCAGAGTGATTCGACCGCTGTCCCGCCGACAACATATCAAGGTGGTGGGTGGTGGCGACTTGGGCCGGTCGGTATTTGCATCAAACAATCGTGGTCCCTTGAGTCAGACCATGGGCGAACTGGACGGACAACAAATGCTCAAGCATGTCACGTCACCCATGTCCAAGGCCCTCTAGGACCTTGTTTTGTTAAGCAACGCCGAGTAAAAGCTTGGAATTGTTAAGTCCAGACAATTCGGAGGTTAGGCTCGACATGGATAGACTTATTGCCGCCGTAAAAAAATACGTAGTACGGTAGGATCTGAGCGTGAATGCTTGGGAATCAAGGCCATTATCGAGTTTGCAAGCATTCAACCAGGTATGAGTAGTGTCCTGAGCAGGATCTGGTGGCGGCCATCCACTGTAAAACAACTGGTATCCACACACCATGCAATCTGGCCATGGGCAATATGTAGTCATACTTCTCCTAATGAAGAAGATGAGCATGAATATGCCGGTCGTAAGTAATAGTACAGTTTTGTTCGAACGCTGCCTAGTGAGATGTTTTTCGCCGCTGTTTCACCGTGGGAACATGTATGGTACGCCTTCTCTGACGGCATCTGATCCTAAGATTTGTGTATTTGTGTACTGGCAACCATGTTGATACTGAAAAAGGATGGTATCAACAACCCTCCGACATGAAGGGACGAAACAAACCCTCTGGCCACCATCTCACTTGCATCCTGTGCAGGGCATGTCAGCAGGTCAAATCATGACAAGCAGATAAAATGGACATGGATATGGCATAATTACCACCATCCTTGTTTTCCCATATCGGGCCAAGTTTGGCCTGGCGGAGAACGCCCTACGACAGGGTGAACAGCTTGACAGGCTTCGTCTCCCTGCGAACCCCCAGCCTTTGGTAATCCAGGCTTATGACGCTGCAGTTGCCAAGACGATGGCTTACCTTTTGCAAACAAGTATCAAGGGGTTTGATCGGTCCTTGGTTGATAAATGTTCGTGGCGATATGACACGGTGGATCAGGTGACTGCATGAGAGCCGAAGACGGGGAATCCATCAACAAGGCTGAGGAGGGTGGTGGATTTGCAACGTTGAGGATTGCTGGATGCGAATAGGCCCCCCCTCCACGAACGAAATTCATGGGGAGACACCAGAATGTCACTCAGGCACCGACATTTCAAACGAGCGCTAGGATGGTCCAGCCAGCTGGTTGGACAGTTGGGCGATCTGGCCATTTGTTACGGCCGGCAACTGGGAGGCTGATGCGGTGTGAAGAGGCACAGAGGGAAGTGCGGCAGGAGAGGAAGGACATCGTAGGGTCGTTATTGGACGGCCAGTCGCCCACCAAGGGCCACCCATCAACGGTGGTGACGGGCAAATTGAATTGGTCAGCAACTGTTCTTTTGGAGAGTAACCCTTCCAGAAATATGCCATGGCATTTTTCTCTTGTGTCATTGAAGGTAGCGCTGAAACAGTAGTGGCACTATTGGGGCTTTGTCTAGTCCCTGCAGTGAGCTGTCTAATGTGCGGTTAAGAAGACATCAACTGTACCGAGCAAGCGTGCTGGTGGCATTGGTCTTTGCCCAGCCAGTCTAGAATCAACGATAAGTCGCTCTCTCTCGGCTAGATAATGGCGTTTGGGGTTGTACCAGTGGTCATTCAAGGAGAATCCCTCGTATACTATTGACCTGTCCTACCAACTATCGATGCTCAGACGAAGAAGTTCTGGAATCCACCAACTAAACTATAACATTGGCTGTCACAAGATGCTGTACGAGTGTTAACAAAGACGAGTTTGGTGGAAAAAACAAGCCGATTATACGGCAAACGGTCGTACTTTGCCCTCAAGCGACTTGGCAGCTGTAACAAAGTCGTGCGCTATTGCCTCGTTTAATCTGCTTCTTTTCCTTCCCTTTGCGAGACTGGGGACAATCGGAAAAGGTAAAGTGTCTGTGGCAGGAGATTTGCCGCCCTTTACAACAGCCTCTGTGCGAGCAGCCCCGTGGCTTATTGTCCGTTGGTCGTACCGCGTGCCGCAAGTTCATGACGAGAAGGCGCTTTATAAATAGTCGGGCTGGGGTCGATTATCAGGTAAGCAATTTAGTTCGCAAGCTCTTGGTATAGTCTGGGTTTCTCTGGCGCTCACCCCACCCAGCCCACCTTAGCCCAGCTGATCCGCATTATCCTGCGGCTGAGAGTGAAAAACGGTGTGCGGATAAGCGAGCAAAGGAGGGTGCGAGAAGTTGGTCGAGAAGGGGCCTTTGTTTGGATAAGGTCATCTAGCCTGATTCGAGGTGGGAAGGATTCAAACCCAGACTTCACATTTAACTTCTTTGAGCACTGTTTAGTTATTGTTTCTGTCTGTCAGAAAATGTCGTTGCCTGTCAGACAAGATGAGCTGAATCATGCCAGCTTTTCATGTGTGTGTATGGCCCGGGGAAAGTGACCGGCTTGCCCCGACAGTTAACTATACGGAGTACGAGCCTACGAGACCAAAGTATGTAGCTAGAGGCTGGATGTCGATGCCTTGATGCCTCGATACCTTATCCACGATGAGCAGAGACACCTACTCCCTTGTGCTGCATAGACCTGCAATTCCCCTCTTCGGCCCCGCGAAACTCAATAGCATAAGGCGAGAGTGGCGGGTTACAGAGGCCGCCACGAAATTCCAAACCCTGGTTGTTTCCGGTACAATCGCAGCCACTGCACGGGATCCTGTCCCCAACGAATCTCATGTCATGGCAATGCCCCTAAGATCGAGAATTGGCTAGGGCTCATATTGGAGGGGTGGAAGAGACGCCTGAGCGTGGCGGTCACCATGGTAGGCGATGGTGGGCGAGAGATCGTCCGAGTGCCGAGATTGCGGGTTTCTGGCAGAGAACAGTAGCACGGGCGAGACTGCCTCAGCTGAACTGGAGTTGGGAGTACATAACTGTGTCGACAAGTTCGAGGGACGGGCTGGGTGATCGGAAGGCACGGACCCCAGACACACAGCAGTATCGGTACGCAGTTGCACTTGTTGGTGCAGGCACTAAATGTCGGAGAAGAGCCGATCTCGATTGGCCAACGTCTCGATGATGATGAAACCTTTTCCTGTTGCGGGAGACTTGTATGAAATGGCCGCAACATCCGCTGGCTGAAGCTGACTTTGGGGTCGATCTGATGGCCAGGTACGGGCTCGGGGTTCACGTTCAGAAGGCCTATAGAGGTCTTGGAACAAACGTTTGACTAGTGCAATTAACATACACCGTACCTTTGAATATACCGAGTAACTTTGTGCTGACCACCAGCTAAACTTTCCCGTAGGGCGTAGCGCAGTGACAGTCAAGGTGGGGGACCTTCAGCTCAGCTCTTCATCAAGAAAGTTCAAGCAGAGTGTTTGCCTGGTACTCATGTTTGATCATGAACACCATGCGGATAGGGGATGCTCAACTGCTGCAACTACAGTCTCACCAGACCCAATTGATCCAGGAGGCGCAGTGCAGGGCTGCTGAGTGTGTGAAAGGGGTACGAACGAGGCTGAGACTACTCGGTACATGGTAGTAGGTAGCCTTTCACCGCCTCAAATAGAGATATCGCACCATTTTTATATGTGGCTTTTGGTTTCTCTCTGGAAGCGCAGTGCCAACGCCTTCTCCTTTTCAGAGTTATAGGCCAAAAGGTATCGAGGATATTGATTTGTACGTACATCGAGGAGGCAAGGCTTCAAACTTCTTGCGGCTTTTTGGTGGGGCAAGTGGGCTGAAGTCACTAGCTCTCAGCCACTGAGCTTGGCGCTAGCAGAAGCCCCTGCTGATCTAACCGCTTTTAGATAATCTAGACCGTTTAACGGCGTCAGAGGCACTAATCAAATTTCAACACATTTCTATCTGAATATGCCAGATGAGTTGGGGTAAACCATGTTGAACCGTCGCGGCAAAGCAGGGCAGCATTAAAGTGCGGGCTCTGTCTCCATCTTTCTTGGGTCTTGGAGAATTGCTGTCGGCAATTGCACCATGTTTCCAGGGTAGAGCCATTTCACAGCACTGGAGCCTACGATGTGATTGTGATAGTCTGGTGATGCTAGTTGGTCACGTCGCCTGGGAAATGTGCCCCAGGATTGCAAAGGCAATATCCAGGGGAAAGGAGAGCCTATTACCTGATCAGCAAGCCATTCTTCTGGTGACCTCAAGTTCAACCTTGGGGCTGAAAGCCACTTCCTCGAGCCGCGTACAAGGTGCCAGGTGTCATACTCATTACCCTTCTTTCCTATATGATGCCATCAACTCGACTCCAATGCTCCGCACCTCAGGGTCAGTGTCTTTGGCCCTCGGACTAGCATCAGCAAGTGCCCGAATGAACGAGTCAGGCACTGGGTACGATCGGAAACAGAACTTGTCACTGACGCTGAGAAGATTATGTCTGACGGATCAATAGCGAGATGCAGGTTCATCCTCCAAGGTGGCCCAGGTGGCCTGGTGGAGTCCATTACAAGTAGGTACGAGTTCATAATCGGCCACCCAGATGGATCAAAATGGACCCAGACGGGTTACCGCTTCTGCTCGAGGCGCTGCCCAGATTCCCGCTTGGGTATGGGACGCTAATGGATGCGAAGTACCCCGGTCCATGCAAAGCTGTTGCCCCCTCCCCCCTGGTCCGTGGTCAACCCCCTGTCCCTTCATCTCATCTGCCGCCTCCCTGGCTCACCCTTTCGATTGCTTGTGGACGCTGGTGCTGACTACGTAGTACCAACCACCACATGAAATGGGAACGACCACCATCGTGGCACAGAGCGGTTTCACTGCCACTTGACCTGAATGGCCCATAATGCCATCCCCGTCCCCGGTATCAACCTTCGTATCCCACGCGGCAAATGGATCGAAAAAGCCCACTATTTACTGACGGCACTAGGTGATCCTCTAACCTCGAGCAACTGAAGCTCCTATCTCGACCCTGAATCGCCCGGGGCCACATTATTGCAAAAGCAACGTGAAATAATAAATCAGCCCTCTCCATCCATGACTTCTAGCTTGTACTTGCTTCATATTACGCTTCCATGCTTATTCCCACCACGTTGATTTAGAGAGACCGATCGCCACCAGTGTCGTATCTCTGCGCCTTTCTTTTGCATAACTCCATCACCAAATCCTGGCACTTGCAGTATTCCCTTGGCCGTCGCTCCTCTCTGGACTTCAGGCTGTTCTATACCAGACGACTACAATACTGTCCTTATTGACTATTGCGATTCTCCTTTAAGCGCGCCCGTTCCGTTGGGTACATCCGCAGGAAACCACCATGGCTGTTGAATCTGGGTTGGTATCTTGCATTCCCGGTGTGAGACATGTCGGTTGACATCTAAAAAAAAAGGGCGACAATAACAATGCCACCTTCGTCCACCTCATCAACTGTGGCAACTCCTTCTACCAACGGCCTCTCAACATCTTCACCGTCCTCCATGAAGACGACACCTAATGGCTCCAAAACGGAACCCAAGCCCATCAAACTCAGGGCTGCCTGTAACCACTGTTTCTCGGCAAAGGTAATATGCTTGGACCCCTTGCTACTCGCGATCTCCTCCACTAACATGGATGGAACCAGGTTCGATGTGACGGGAATAAAGAAGGATGTCGTAGGTGCTCTGAAAAAAGATTGTCTTGCGTCTACAGCGAATCTCGAGTCGGGAAAGTGGTGGGCAAACGACGAAAGCGACCCATTGACGACTCGATCGGCACCATCAACTCCCAGTCGTGGATCATCCATAATTCGCTCCCTATACAGTCTATCCCGTCACCAGCTACCACCCATGGCTCAGACGAACCGGGCAGGAGCCAGGGCAACCCCCCTACCTGGTCCTCCTTTATCGTCAACGGTGATCCAGGATTTTTAACTTTCGACGAAGCTACAGAGTCAATGGGCGCTTTGGATATGGCAGACAATCGAAGTTACTCAATAGCCAGTGACCTCAGCTTTTTCAACAACAGCGGACTACCTACACCGGGACTCAGTCCTCCTCAATTTACCCGATATCTGTCACCCGCTCAACTGGAAACCCGACCTTTGTCGAGACAGTCTTCGTGTCCGGTTGACCCGTTAAAGCTACAGCCCCCAGTTTATGGCGCACCACTTCCTCGAAACGGCGAGCCGGGGCTGGAAGATGAAGAGACTGTGTGCATCAAGTTGCTCGCCCATCTCAAAAAGCATTCGTCCGATGAGTCCCAGCCACGGGAGATGCAAATTGAGCTATTGAAGAAGAGCAACGCTGCTGTACGGAGGATATTACGCAGCAAATCGGTCCGAGCTGACTACTCGTGCCACTTGCTACTCTCAAACATCATCAATCACCTGGTTCGGTTGTGTGAGCGACTTTGCCAAGGTAGACTGGAGGAGTGTGGTCTTGTGCACATGGAGTGTCAATTCCTCCAAGAACAAGTCCACTTTGAGGCCATGCCAGGCTTCTTCGACACCCTTGTCCCGTCAGCTGCTCCCACGCCAGACCAGGACCTGCTGGGGAGTCTGGTCAAAGAGGTAATTGTGTTCACTTCGATAGTAGGGGATTTTCTGAAGAAAAAGCCGCTCTATGGGTTTCAACATCTCGGTCGGCACGAGACATTTCATGTGGAGTTAGAACAGAGGCTGAAGAAAGCCAGTGTCTTGCTGAAACCCTGACGAGGCACTTGGTACGAGCAGGATGCCGTGATATGCGGTGGGGGGGGGGGGGGGAGGGGGGGGTTTTGGGCCAGACAAAATGAACATACATGAC